GGGGCTGAGGTGGTGTGTCGCCGTTTGCGCGGAGATGACGCCTTCATTCACGGGGCGCTTAGTTACTAATCTTAATAGGTTTCGTGTTGTTTCTTTAAAGTATGTCGGCGGGCCTAATAGAAGATATTGTCACTCCCCACACGTGTTTCCCCGTTTCCGTTCCCTGGAGGTGCTCAGGGCCGCGCTGGATGGGGCTCTGAGCAACCTGGTCTAGTGGGAGGTGTCCCTGCCCATGGAACTTCATGTTTCATGACATGAAATGAACCACGAAGGGCTTGGAACGGGATGAGCTTTAAGGTCCCTTGAACCCAAACCATTCTATGGCTCTGAGTTTTCCTCTGAGAACGTTGCAGCTACTGTCTCACTGCCGTTTAAATTGCTGAGTGTTGCTTGATTAATAGAAAAAGTGGGTTATGTTTTTTTTATAAACAGTAAAAAAGTCAGCTTTTGGTTTTGAAGCTGATGGTGAAAGGAGAACTCTTCTCAGAGTTTGTTTATACGCTCTCTTAGAAGTTCTTCCATCCCTGGAAGTGTGCAAGGCCAGGTTGGACAGGGCTTTGGTCTAGTGGAAGGTGTCCCTGCCCATGGCAGGGGGTTGGAATGCGATGAGCTTTGTGGTCCCTTCCAACCCAAACCATTCTGTGATTCTATTCTAAGAAACATGGAGTTTTTTTGAGACATTGGCAGTTGCTTAGCAAAGCTGGATACAGTGAATGAACTATGAATTGCTTCAGCAGGAAACCCAGAAAGATTAAAAAGTAGGTCTGCAAGCTCTTTCATCACCTCATTTGTCCTCTTATGCTGGAGCACTGACAGCTCTGCCTTTACTTCTGCAAACAGGGGCAATGAATCTTGTGTGCTGCATCCAGCTTACCCTCTGTAAGCTCACAAAGCTTTTCATTTTTATACCTCAAAAGCTTTGTATCGGTTTCGTTGTCCTCTCCGAAGTGTTAAAGCAGCTTCATCTGCTATTCAAGGTTTGGCCTCAGGAAACCAGTAATGAGATATGAGGGTACACATGCCTAGATAACAGATTCAAGTAGATCTGGCTCAGGAGATATGTGGCCTCATGATGTTGTTGCTTACTCATAACGGCTGGTGTGTGGGAGCAGAGGGGATGGGTGTTTCCATGCCCTCCTGCAGCAGTTGGTTTCAATCTTGCAGTTGGTTTCAGTCTCCAGCCTTGACAGAGGGTGAACACGGCTGGTTCCATCCCTTCAGTTCACTCCAGTGTGATCTTTCTGGAGCCGTCCTGACCCGCCTGCTCTCCCTGTGAAACCAGAGAACTTGTGTGGCTGAGGCTGCCAGACTGCTGCTTCAGCCTAAACCCATTTATATATTTGTGTCTGAGCTTTTTTTAGGAGGCTGCTGGAACATTTTTGCAGGTGGGAAATCTGTTTTTGAGAAACCGGAACACCTTTGTTGAAATCGTGTACCAGGCTTGAGCTCTGCCTATAGGCCACACTGTATCCAAAATCCCTACCCCAAAAACAATTTAAATGGAAACAAGTCAAAAGAGTGGGCAGCTGTTACATTTATAGCCAGTACATGTCTGCAAGCACCACAGTTATCTTTGTTCTGGAGGGTGTCGAGAAAACTACAGCGCCCAACCTGTAACACTTCAGAAAATCTCTGGGTGCCTCTGGGCCACCGTTGCCTACAAGTGTCACCTTTCTGTACAAGCTGGCAGAGTTGGCAGTCCTCCCTACTCTTGTGATTTAGACTAGACCCACAGGCTCTTCTCAGGCTGTTGGCACTGTCAGAGGGTAAAGCTCACCTCATCCAGTGGTGAAAAAGAACTATTTGTAGGCACTCAGCGTGTGGATGGTAAGTTGGGTACGCAGGGAATTGGTATTTCTTGCTAGGAGTTTACAGCTCTTGAAAAACAGCATAGCCTTGTCAAATTGGGTTAGTCTATTGGCTTTCAGGTGGAGAGAATGAGGCTGGATTGAAAACTAATGGAAATTCAGGCATGAAAAGGTGTTTTTCCTTGGCTTGCTTAGAAGAAATCAAGCGAAATGCCAAAGTAGATGTTTGAAGTCTGAGACGATTCTGCCTGGGCTGTGGGCTCAGAGCAGGTTCTCAAATGTGCTGTGCTCCTGCGGTGCTTACTCATGTCATTGTTATTCATGGACAGCAATTCCAGCTATCCTCAGTGTGGTTTTGGGATAAAAACTGCTTTCAGGTTGGTTTGCTCCGTTTCCACTCCCCCCTTCTGGAGGGTTGTGCTCTGAAGACTGACATATCACTCTACCGAGCATTAAATGGCAGCTGTTTGGCTTTTTTCATGTCTCTGTATAGGTCACTTGTATTGTAGGGAACTGTTGGTGTAAAATTACTTCATTTATGACCCACCAGGATAGCAGCCTGACATGTGAAGCTTTTTATTTCATTCTAATTGTTCATTACATTTTATGATGTTTGGTGCCTGGAAAAAAAAAACAGTTTACCAGTGTTCATTATTGCAAACAATTTGTAAGGATTTATGAGATCCTGGTGCCAACAGCAGAAAAAATAAACTCACGTGAAATTATCAATCACTTTAAATTGACATGGTTTTTTTCTGTCTTGAGGAAAGATGGCCACAGCTGTGTGAAATATATCTCCTGACTAGCTCTTCATCACAGGAGAAAGTTCTGGTTCCACTAGTGGCTTTAGTGACCCTTATTTTAATTCCTCAGAAGTGAAATGTGTTTCATCTGGGAAAAGTTCCTTCTCCTGCTGTTTGTTTTTTTTTTTTTTTTAATGTAGATTTAGTAACCCACTTAGTTGTTTTGGAAGGTGCTGTGAAGTCCAGAAAGTAGAAATTGTTTCTTGATCATTTAGAGAGTTTTTTATTTACAGCATTAGTTTTAGGACTGAGGAAACCCTGCCAGAAGACTGGATTTGCTACCTAGGAAAAAGCAGTGAAAGGGGGTCATTCCAGGAACGGCAAAAGTGGGCTCCAGCTGAAACTCTGCAAGCAATTGTAGCTCTTTGCCACGTGGACTCTAGTGAAAAATGAGCCCATGATGCTGTTTTTCCCTCACTTGGGGTACTTGCAAGGAGAGGATGGGGCCCTGGCTGAAAAATCTCAGGTTTTGTGATGGTTGTTTTATTGTCAAATCTGACTGAAACGGAGTGGGATTGCTGTATTGTCTGTCAGGTTTTAGTGATGCTTGTAAGTAGTAACTGTGGGACATCCTGGAGTCTTGTTATATCCACGCTGAGAGCACTTAAAATCCAGAACAGCAGCAGGAGATACATCCCGAGCCTTCAGAGAGGCAGCTTTGAAGATGACAGCAATTACTGTGAAGAATGTGGGGCATATTCTGATTTTGTACTGTGAATGCTAAAAACTGAATTGAAGTCATATCTGTGTTTATAGGCTGAACTGTTCAGCTTTCCAAGTAAATTTTTCCTTTATTCTCTTGGCAATTAAAGGAGATGATGAGCCAATTCCATTCTAAACAAAGATGAGGAGACAATATCCAAACAGTCCTTTTTTTCTTTTTTTTTTCCTAATGGCCCTTAAGTTATCTTATAGCCTTCTTTACATGCAATGCCAAAGTAAATTCTGATGCCTCTTGGCCATCTCTCATTTTTGGAGACCAGCCACACACAAATGGTTGCACTTCTGTCTCCCAGTACATATATAATTAAATCTGACCCTGCAATGAAAGAGAGAGACTGAGAAAGTTCCTGAGCAGGAGCAGAGGCTGATTAATACAGATTATTAGAGCTGCTGATTGAAAGGCTGCAGCTGTGATTGCCATAGTGGGGAGAAGGGAGCAAGGTCTTGGTGCTTGTGATGGTGTCTGCCAGGTCTTGTCCTCGGTTTACACTGACAAGGATGTTTGCTGTGTGCTGTCCTGCGTCCCAGACTTACCCACTACACCCTGTAATCCATCTGGACTATTGGAAGGGGATGTGACTGGGGGATGAGCTGGCAGGCTTTGCTGAGCTGCCCCCCAAAGCCGTGTGTTTGAGCAGCTGACCTGGCAGGTATCACTGAGTTTTGCTGTGTTTTTGTCTCCAACAGGCGACGGCGATGTCGGTGGATTGCCTGGGACAGCACGCCGTGCTCTCGGGGTGAGTGTGACAGTCACTGCCACGAGCCAGGCCAGCAGCCTTCAGGCTGACCTCAGCATTGTCTCAGAAAGCTGCTGCTGAATTCTGTTCAAGGCTTGATGAAAAGGATTCTGGATCATGTTCCCAATGGGATACGGAGTGGAGAGACAGCAACAACAGCACAATAAAATACTGATGTGGCTTTCCTGATACGTGCCTTCCCAAACCTTCAGAGCAGGGCCTTGAGGACTTTGGTCGGGAAAGGCAGCCAAGATGTTCTTTGTGTTCCTTCTCTTGGAAGAATGGCCAGTCCTCAGAGCAGCTGTGTGCTCACAGTACAGTTGACATAGGTGACGCTGGTGTGGTTAATTATATAGGGTTCAGTATGTTTTGATCCTGGTCTTCCATAGGTTTCAGCTGGGTCACAATTATTTCAACAAGCAGTTTCTCTCTCTTGTAAGATGAATCACACTGGATGATACCTTGCTTTGTGGGGAGTTGGCCACATCCAGCAGGATGTGTGAGCTCAGGTTTGCCATCATGCAGAGTTATTTCTGCAGCGTGTAGAGTTAGCTCAGGTAAGTAACAGAACCAGCTCAGTGCAGGACTGTGTCCGCCCACATTAACAAGCTGCTGCAGCTGAGCAGGAGCTCTGTGCAGGTGTCCTTGTACTGTTTGCAGAACCAAGCCCCCAGACTGTGGTGTGGAAAGACACACCCACGTAGAATCATCTTATGTTTCTCAAGGCTCATTAACTCTTGCTCATACCAGCCCCTCCAGACTGAAGCTGTTGTGTTGCACTCCCAGCCCTGTGCCACTTCGGCTCTGTTGCTGCAGCGTTGGGCCAGAAAAGCCTATTTGGATGTGTTTGCACCATTTTCCAGCTCTTCCTTTTGTGTCCTAGTTATCTGGGATTTTCTGTGGTCTGAGCTGTCTATTACATTTGCATATCCTGTCTAATTTCAGTGTGTCTCGTACTTTTTGGGCGGTTGTTTTTGGGGTTTTTTTTTTGGTAGCCATTTTTGAAATATATTGTCAAATGTACCATTCTCAGGAGTAGTGTTCTCACCTGTCTCGTGAAATGCTTCTCTTCTTTTGATTGTTGTGCCCCTAGACACAGGGCTGTGAGCTTGGGGTTTTGAGATCAGTCCCGTGAGATGCAGCCCCTGTGTGTGTGTCTTGCAGCCGCCGTTTCCTCTACATAGTCAACCTGGATGCACCGAACGAGGGTCATCGCAAGATCTCCCGCCAGAGCAAGTGGGACATTGGGGCAGTGCAGTGGAACCCCCACGACAGCTACGCCTACTATTTTGCAGCTTCAGTAAGTTCACTCATTTACAAGCTCTCTCCTGCCCTGGTCTTTCATGGGTGAGCTTCTGCAGAGCTGGAAGGCTCTGTGGAGCTGGCACAGACATGCTTCTGCAAGTCACATCGCAAGGTCAAGGCCTAACTGATTTACTGCCAGCAAGGTCTGGCTTGATGACTCTCGGTTATTGGTCAGTCAAGGTTGAATCTAGTTTTGCTCGGTTGTTGTTTACAAAACACCTTGGCAAATAAACCAGACATCTAAACGGTCCTTTTCTGGAGGGAAGAGGGGATGTGCTCCCTTGGTACCTTCCATTCTGTTATGAAATTTGTGCACTTCTTGAATTTCTTGCTCTGTGCTGTTTTATTTCACCTCCCTGCCTCGCTGGTGGGCTGTGGTGCACCAGGCAGTCTGTAAATAGCACGAGTCAATACTGGCTCAGCGCTGTGACAGTCGGGGTTTGCAGATGGGCTCGGACCGGATGGGCAAGGAGCTCTGATTTTTGGGTGGAGAAGTAAATGGGCTGGGCTGAAGAAGCAGTAGTGGCCATGTGAGACTGAGTGCAGGTTTTGGCCCTGATCTGTACTCAGTCTGTCATGCTCTGCAGGTTGTTCACCCAGAGCTCTGCTGGCAGCAGTCTCGGCCGTCACCCACAGCACCGCGGCAACCAGCTGGGCACAGACTGTTCTCAGGGCAAGGTGCCTTTTCTGCCTGTTGTGTCCTCTTTTGTGGCCTGAGAGTCCTGGAACAGCTAGGGATGGAGAGGTTTCGTCTGTTTTTTTGAGGGAATACTTATTTGAAGGTGATTTGGGGGGATTTTTGTTCCTTTTGCTTCCTGGATTGGCTATGATTGTTATTAAAGGCAGTTTTAAAAGAGGACCAGTGCTATCAGCTGGGAGCCTCTGCCTGCTTGCTCTCTGACATTCCCCAGCCTTTCTTCTCCCAGCTCTGGCACATGACTGATATCTTAAAGGTGCCCTCAGCAGTGGTCTGCTTCTGAGCAAAGAGTTAGTAAAACTGGCAAAAAAGTGTCCTTCATTGCCACTTCTGGTTACAGTCTGTGGAAATTAAAACCAAGTAAGGAAATGCACTGGGCAAGCCACAAGTGGAGCAGGAAAGCTTCTTCTCAAACACACTCTGAAGACAATATCCAGTGATTGGTTCATGCTGATCTGAGCAGGACCCTGCTACAAAGGGGAGCTGTGCCCATCTCACCCACCTGAGCGCTCCTGTCTCTTGCTGCTCTGAGCATCAAACACAGGGACCCATCTTGTCCCAGACTGAAACTAGGCATAGCTGGCATCAAACCTTGCTGCTCCTGTTTATAAACAAACATACCAAGATGCTCTGGGGATTTAGATGTAGTTGCTGACACACATCGGGTGAGGAATCCCCAAGATGAGATCAGGTGTCTTCTCCGGTTTGGGTCCAGAATGCTGCCTTTCCAGCCATCTCACTGTGCTGTAGACAGCCCAAGGGTCCTATCCCTCTGCATCCCTGTGGGTGGAGAGGAAGTGTGAAAGGCTACTGCCCTGTTTGCCAGCAACCTCATCTAGTTTGCAGTCCTGTCCTGTTAACTGGAAGTGGTGCAGGCAGAGGGGAATCTGTCCTTGTGTTTCGATAAGACCTTCTTATTTAGTTCTTTCCAGAAGAGCTGGAGTGTGTCCTTTTGCTGTGCTTGGCTGTGTCTGCCCTCTGGCTCAAGCATGTTTCTGGGGACTCCTAAGCTGTTTCAGAAATGCTGTTGTTTTCAGTCCTAGATGCTTGTTATTTCTTTTGTGTGGCCACAGATGCTTGAACAAGAGGGTGATGAAATTGTTGGAAGTGAATACTGATACTTACCACAAAAAGCAGAGTTTTTGAGAAAATACTCCTGTTGGGAGGAACGACCTCTCTGGTGATCCTTATCTTGTATCTTATCTCTGGAGTCCTGGATAAATCCCACTGGGTAATTTTCACTCTACCCCCCCTTAAATCCTTCTGTCAATGAGAAGCATGAAAGGAGTTTTTCTTGCCCCAAGCTCTTGTGCAACTCTGCTATGATGGGTTAGAGAAATGCCATATATTATTGCTGAGTTGAGAGAAGACCTTCCATTTAAGGGAAGGCTGTAGTGTTTTATCTGTTTGCAACTTGAAATTCACATGGAGCAGCTTAGGGGTAGGAAGAAAATCCACCACCACAAAAAAAACCTGCCACAAAAATTGTAACAGTTGCACTGGATGTTAGAGGTCTTTTCCAACCTAAATGATTCTGTGTTTCTGCGAAGTCTCTTATCTATCATATTTTTCCTTATCTACCTATAAGTCTGAAAACAAGGGGCTAATGAAGATCAAAATTTGAGGTTGTGTTCCCTCTGTTTTTGCAAAATCAATAGGAATTTCCAGTCACTGCCTAAGACCCACTGTGGTTCATGCTGTATATGCACCCAAAAAGGCAATTCCTGCCTTAGAAAGATTAGAGCTGGCTGGGACTGAACTGAACCTTGATTGAGAGAGAACATGAACTTACAACACAATAACCGGTTTCAAGTAACTTTGTGTGTGGCTGCACTTGGGCAAGGCTGGAATGAGTGAAGAAACCCTAAATAATGTTGTCATTGATACATCTGTTTTGCCTTTGTGGTTTACAGTTAGTGATAAGCACTTAAAGCTTTTCTCCTGGGCTGGCAAGGATGGGAGTACCCTTGAGGAGGTGTCCTTGAGTCCATTAAACTATATTGTTTGTGTTTGGCAGTGGCCCTGATTATCCCAGAAGGGAATTGAGAGTGAGTTGAGGAGCACTAGTGGCAATCTGGCATCCCCCCTCACTGAAAACTCCAGTTGAATCTGAACAGGCTGGCAGGGTATTCCTGCAGAGAGAATTTGGCTGCCTGTTGCTTGCAGTTACAGCATGTTGTTAGGAAATAAAAGCTCCGGGAACATAATTCGTGGAAACATTTTGCAATGTGATTTTTTTTTTCTCCCGTTCTAGTTTATCTCCAGTTTTAAGTGAGTGTAATTAAAGTGTAAGCTTTTGAGATTCCTTGCAGCCTGTAGTTTCATCTTTGCTTTTCTGCTTTGGGCAAGGACTTTGCTAATCACAGGGTGACTCACTGTTAAATGAGGTTGCTCAAAGTGAAGGGACCCTGGTCCTAACACACAGATCCTTCTCCTACCTTGTTGGCCTGAGAGTGTCTCTCCTTTCTTCCATCTAATTTCAGAGTAATCAGCGAGTTGACCTGTATAAGTGGAAGGAAGGCAATGGGGAAGTTTGCACATCACTGCAAGGACACACACGTGTGATCAGGTGAGGAACAAGTGATGCTGTGGGCTGCAGGATGGAGAATTGTTTCATAGAAGCTGAATGTTTCAGTCCTGGCCCTGCACAGGCTCTGTTCTGAGCCTGGTTTTACTCACTTTTCTGGACTGGACTGCCTTCCCATTTGATGATGACATCATGTGTGAAGCGGCTCACCCCCTCATGGCTCCCCCACTGTATCAACTTAGCCCTTGATGGCTTGAGTGTCATTGCCTTAGGCTGCTGTCCTTGTAATGAGCAGCAGCATCATCTGGGAAACAGATAGCAGTATGTTTATTAAATTGAATCCCAGCTGTGTTTCTGTGTGATAGCAGCTTAATTAAAGCAGGTAATCCCAAAGACCAAGTTTAGAGAGTGTTACAGTGGTGCAGGGGATTTCTGCCTCTAGTTCCAAGGTTGTATTTCAATGATGGGCTGGAAATGCATCTGAAAGACTGTTTTTACTCCAGCTCCTGACTATGGAAAGTATTTGCAACCCTTCAAATGGCAGTTGTTTGCACTGACTGGAGGCTGTTTGTGTCCGAGGTGCACTTGGTGTTCCCAACAGGGAGGCATCCCAGAGTGAGGGGTTGATGCCAAGGATGTGTGGTAACTGGGAACTCACTGAGACAGTGTCCCTTTGCCTTGGAGGAAAGAGCACACACAGGATAGCTGTAAAGTTCAGGGCTGGGAGGATGCTGCACTGGAATTTACTTAGAAGCATTTCATTGCTTCTTGGAATTTACTTAGAGAAATTATTAAGATCTTGCTTTTTACTTAAAAAGTTTCAGTAGATGTCATGGAGTTGCTGTGAGTTTGTCAGAGAATGGGGGCTTGTGAGAGGCTGATGCAAACCGGGTGTGCTTTGCTTTACTGATCTGTGATTTTGCATTTGCAGCGACCTGGACTGGGCAGTGTTTGAGCCAGACCTACTGGTCACCAGTTCTGTGGACACATACATCTACATCTGGGACATCAAGTACGAATCAGTTTTGTTTCTGCACTGCAGGGAAATTGTTGGACTCCTTTCCATAATTATCAGCTTGCAGGGCAAGGCACACCTGATGGGTGCTGCTCTTCTGCTGTGCTTGCAGGGGCTTCAGATCCTTGCCATCTTCTCCCAAGATGATCTCTCTTCCCCTATTTTCAAGCCAGTTCAGAGTCAATGAAGGGCAGTAGAGTGGTATAGTTAAACTACAGACTTGCTTCTGTTTTGAAAAAATACTGTCTAGCTTCACTCCCTGCCCACTTCATATCTTTCCTTGGGGGCTTTCCTTGGAGCCCAAGGGTGTTCCTCAACCTGTTGGGTTTTTTAGCTGAGTGAATGGGCACTGTCTCATGATCTCATAACCATTTTCCAGTAACTTCAGTGATTGTTGCTGATTCTCCCTCAGTGATGGGAAGACTGACAGTGGTATTCAAGGTTTTCTCGTTTGTGCTTTCCTGTGATTCCTGGTGCTTTCCATCATGAGTAATTTCAGGGTAGCAGATATTTCCAACTATATATCCAAACCCCACCAATATTTAGACCCCATATTTTACACCTGAGAAGCAAGGAGCTGGCACTGGGACTGCTGGGTTCTCTTGCTGGCTGCACAACTCTTTATGACCCCCGGCAAGTCACTTTGTTCCTCTCTGCCTCCCTTGCTCAGTTATAATAGGAAGATAATTATATAAGCTCACTGCACCAGGCTACCCCGAGGCTTGTTTAGCTCCTATGAAGCACTTAGATCCTTGGTTAAATGGTGCTTGAGAATGACAATATATTATTAATGTGTAATTAAAAGACATAGGGAGACAGCAACTGCTGGTTGTGTTTTCCTGTGATACTATCTTAGTGCCAAGTAAAAAATAGAGGTCTCTGAAGGTTGTTATCAGAAGTCCTCCTTTAACTCTGTTGTGCCCTTCCATTGCTGTGTGTCTGCCTGTACCACTTGTCCAGGAAAGCTTCCTTAGGCAGGCTCTGATGAACCTCTACATTGCACTTGTGCTGGGAAGGCTCTGAGCTTGCAGGGGCACTGGGTGCTGGTGCTGCTGGCCTCCAGCAAATAACCATCCTACTGAAGTGACCGTCTCTAATGACACCCTAGGGAGGTAGCCCTGCAGTAAGGGCAACTGGAAATTCCCCACCTAATTTTTCATACAAAGTAACTTTTTGATTAGGCAGACATTCTTAGAGGGAGAGGTGCAGTCCATTCCAGAAAATGTTCAGCTTTTCAGCAAACAGAAAAAGCCAAAGACAATATTCCTTATTTTCCCTGTCACTTTTCGTGAAAGAGCAGGTGAATTCCTGAGGAGCAAGGTCAGGAACTGAATTATTGCCTTCATCCATGTCCTGGCTGCTAGGAGTTGTTATGGTGCTGCGCTGGCTTCTGCCACCACAAAATTTGATCTGCAGACAGAATTTGGTCTGCAGACAGCTGAGCTTATTTCCTACTAATTTTGTTATTATATGCTAGACATGAAGTTTTTTGCTCTGGAGTCACTGCTCCGTCTGCCTTGAATCAGGGTCTGCAAAGGATTGACAAACACATCAATGGCTTTTGTCAAGTATTTCCACAGCTCTGTTTGTTCCTTTTAATCCTCCTGGGAAAGGCTGTTTTGTTGCTTCCTGCAGCAATAATTTGTGAACCCAGTTTCCTGGCCTACCCAGTTGCAACATACCCCACTTTCCACGTGTTTCTTCTCCCTCTGTTCCACTCCAGCTCTATCCTATGTCCTAAACTTCCTGCTGCATGTGGTGGCAAGGCAGGATCATAAATTGGTTGGGTTTGGAAGGGACCTAAAGATCATCCAGATCCATCACCCTGGCAAGGGCAGGGACACCTTCCGCTAGATCAGGTTGCTCAGTGCCCCATCCACCCTGGCTCTGAATGCTTCCAGGATGGCTGTTGTCCTCCAGCTGGTCACCTTTATTCTATTTAATGCTGGTGTATTTTGGTAAGCAGCAGACACATTAGGTCCCAAGGCAGCAATACAATTAGTCCTGGAACATGGAGGAGCTCCCTGGGGAGGCTGGACTGTGCTGTGGGTACTCACATGAGCCGTGCTGTGTTTCAGGGACACCAGGAAGCCCACAGTCTCACTCTCTGCAGTCGGTAAGTTTGACATGTACGTGTGATGTAGACATTAAACAACCTTACTGTTGTGTGTCCCTCCTGTTATTCCCCCCCCTCTTCCTGCTCCAAGGCTGGGCATGGCACAGTACAGAAGTGCCACCATGTGTGATTGTCCCATGTAGGAGCAGCCTGAGAGGCTCCAGTTCACAACTCCTTTTAAGGGAGCAGAATTCAGAAAAGATGGGGAGCCCCTTGAGGGTTCCCAGGCATGGAGGGAATTGTACTTGGACTGGCTCTGCTGACACTGGTGAACAGCCACATGGAGCTTCCTCCCTGCTTAACCACCCTGCTAATTCTGGGTTGCCTGTCTGTGTTTTCCTCATGTCCTTTTATGTTTGATTGAATCAGCTGGGAAACTAAACTGCACCCCAGGCAGTGCCAGCCTGTGCCCTCTTTTACGGAGGGGCCGGGTACATCAACCGGCTGTACCCGCTTCCCCGGGGCACCTGCAGCCTGCAGGGAGCTGGTTGGTGACACAAGGTGCTGTCTTTGGGCTGTGCTTGCTCTGGAACAGCATTTGTCATGGCTGCTGGCAGGGTGAGTGTCCTGCAATACCTTCCCCTGGCAGGTGCTGTGTGTCAGTCCTCACCTGCTGCGAGCCTGGACTGGGCACGGATGATGAACAAAACATCCTTCTCATGAGTTACTGTCCCCAGCGTTAGAGAGTCCTTGCAATGGGTATCTCTCATGCTCTGCTGCTTAGATCTTAGGCTACACATCTGCACTCCCCTCCCAGCCAGCAAACCTCTGTGGCACAGAAATGCCGAGGCCTTACTGAGTCAGAGAGAAGCAGCGTTGAGCTCTGGTGTCTGGGGTGAGGTTTTACGGCTGAGGCAGCCCAGCAGCCAGCTCCCCAGAAAGCTTGCTTGCTTCCTTCCTTCATTCCTTCCTTCCTGCCGTGCCCCATGCCGTGTAGTGCTGGTCCAGACGTTTGTGTACCCTTCAGTGAGTGGATCAAATCAATCAACTGGCAGTCTATTTGCAGCTTTTTATCCCCTGGACTAGCTTTTTGCCAGGTTGTCAGGATGAATCTGCTCACCGTGCAGCAGGAGGTGGGCAGTGGAGGTGGGGAATAGCAGCAGGCCAAGATCTGTTTTGCTTTCTCATGGATCTCACCTGTCTGATAGCTCAAAAGGTTTTGAAAATAGTGGCAGAGTGGCAGAATAAGGATGAACAGAACATGCATTTCTCTTAAAATACCTGAACAATCTGCATTAACCGAAGCTGTGCTTTTTTTCTTATTAGAAATAACTTCCCATCTTCTGATTTGACTGAGTCCCTCAGGACATCACATATAATCATATCTGGATCACCATCCAGTTTCTTTACAGTGTCATTGATGTCTTTGACTTCTGTGGTGTATTTTGACAGCTGGACCTTCTGGTCTAACCAGTGAGTTCACTTCCATCTGGCCAGACCCAAGGTCCACCTGCACTGCAGCCTTCTCCTACACCTGTATTTAAATCATAGATCAATAGTTCTAGTTGCCTGTTTAGCAGCAGACAAGGGTTTTGGGGAGATAAATCAGGCCTTAAGCAGCTGGAGTAACTTGAATGAAAGGAGAGGTGGTTTGGGAGGGAGGTGACGCAGTTCTTGTCTGGAGGAAATTGTTCCATCTGAGCTCATGGACATGATTATTTTAATGGAGCACAACCCCTGGCTAGAAGTTGTGGTCAAGATCTCTGGGCATGCAACTGGCACAGTCTTGCTTTGCTGTCCTGAGGACAAACACTACGCTGAGGAATCAGGAGTTAGGAATTGTCATGCCATCCTTCCTACTGGCTTCTGGGATATCCCTCCTCTGAGCTGCCTTTCCTGGCCTAAGAGCAGCTCTAGGCCCAGGTCTGCTGTGCCATTTTCTTTTTAATTGCATGTTTTGACCTGTGCTGTTTGTGCTGCAGCTGGAGCTTCCCAGGTGAAATGGAACAAGAAGAATGCCAACTGTTTAGCAACAAGCCACGATGGGGATGTCCGAATATGGGACAAAAGGGTAAGCTGAGGGTTTTTTGGGCAGTCTGTGTATATTCCCACCTACCTGATGCAGACATCCCTCTGGTCACAGGTAAATACTGAGAAAACGTACTACTTTATCCCAAATCTCTCTTGTGGGTGAGTTTAAACTAGAGAGAATTGGGAGTCCATGAACCTGGAGAGAGTATGTAGATAGCCTACTTTTCCAGACACTGTCCCCGTTAACATTTTCACTTTGATCTCGTAGTAGTTAACTGTTTTATGGAGGATGAAGTATCATTTGGGCTGCACTTGGTGACTGGAACTTGCCACATCTTTTCTTCAACAACTTTTGCTGAGCTATTTGTCATTCTCCAGCAGGAGGTTGTTCTACCTCTCTTTCCCTTGTTAAAGTGTCTGTCTCTTCTTATGCCAAAGAACTAGACCAAATTTCAGAAGTCCTGTGCTGAGAAGAAAAGTGTTTCTCCTTGCAGAAACCCAGCACTGCAGTGGAGTATTTGGCAGCTCATCTCTCCAAAATCCATGGTCTGGACTGGCATCCTGACAATGAGTACACACTGGCCACTTCCAGCCAGGACAACTCTGTCAGGGTAAGTGTTGCTTCTGGGGTTTCTGCTGGGGGGGTGGAAGGATGGTGGAGCTGATTCCCTTCTATTGCTGGTGAGGTCTTGGGGAGTGCTTGCCATTGGTGAGATCTGGATCCTTATTGTTTGGTTTCTGTGCACCTGTGTGTGTTGAGCCAGGACTGCACTTTGAGAACAGGCAGAGAGGTCATTGAAGGATGGGTGCACATGTTTGCCATGTATTTGTGGTGATTAGAGCTGTATTGGAGCTGAAAAGAGCCGCCTCTGCCTGTTGCTTGCCAGAATGGAGCTGACCACACATGCCAGAAGAGACTTCTCCCTGAAATGCAGTGTTGCCAGACTCAAGCTGATTACAGCAACTTAGGGGGAGACATACTTCAGCCCCTGGGCTTTCCAAAGTCATGTTGAACAGGATTATCAATAAGAGACTGCCTGCAAGCACTGCTCTGCAGTGCCTTTTACCTGGGGGGAAAGAGTGGGCTTTGTATGTCAGCCAAATGGAGTTCATTCACACTGAGCTAAGCTCCGAGGTGATGTGTATTCTAGCAAAGCAAAAGGTTACATTCTTCATTAGAAAATTAGCAGTCACAGCAGGGTGGGCCTGCCTCCAGCCTGGACTGGCACATTGGCTGGGAGCCTGCAGGGTACCTTGTAGATGTGAAAGCCCAAGCAGGCTGCCTGTCCCTGCTCTAATTACTCAAGCTATGATCACTGTGAATATGACCCCAAGTCACTCGTTGTCTAAGGGATGCTGCCAGATGCTGATAGCTTGGTATTTGTCCTTTGGGACCATCTCTGCTGTTAATGAATGGGATTACTAATGATGCTGTGGGCACCCTGGCATGCTTTTTTGGTCTGTTCTATCTGCAAACCACATGGAAAACTACAGCCTGAAAGTACAGCCAGCTGACTCCTGCCTTTGCTTGCCTTTCTCTTGGTTTTTTGTGTTTTGTTTTTTTTTTTTTTTAAGTTCTGGGATTACCGTCAGCCTCGGAAATACCTCAATATCCTTCCCTGCCAGGTTCCTGTCTGGAAGGCAAGATACACGGTGAGTGAGAACCTCCCACCAGCTCCACCTGTGCTCTGAGAGAAATGCACAAAGGGACATGAAATAAAGAACTGCTGAAGGATTTCTCACCAGTTCTACTGGTGGACACTATTAAGTTGATTTTAAAAATACCTCTTGGTGCTTAAAAGGCCTAGAAAAGCAGCATCCACAGTGGGGGGGGCACTTGGGAGAAGGAGTGAGCAAGCACCCAGCCATGGGAAGCTAAAGCTCTTACCATCAGTCATAGCTGTTCTCTTTCCCAGACATCTGAGTGCAGCCTGAAGCCAGTGCTGTGTCTTGAATTTTTGATCCCCCCCCCTTCCCCATCCCCACAGTGGGAGGTGTAGGACGGGGTTCCTCTGGTTCTTCTGAGCATTGTGACCCTGAGGAGCTGCTGGGGCTCAGTCCCCAGGTAGCAGTTCTTGCAGCTCCAGGCAGATTGCAGTAAGGATCCCCTGTGAAAAGTCAGTGGTGAAATCCCTCCAGCCTCCCAGATGAAAAGTGAGGAAGCAGCATTAAAAAATGATTCATCTTAAGTGAGCTGCATTGAGTATTTTGGTGGACTACATCTTATCCCTTGAAAGACAATGTTTTTGCACAGCAATTGCCTTGAACCTTCCCAGGTTTTGGCCTGGTTCTGTTTTTGTGCTGAGCTCATTTAAAACCCGTGCGTTCGTGTTGGTGGGAAAAGGGGAAAATGAGAGTGTGATAACAGCAGCATGGGAGCATAACTCTCCAAGGGGTAACTGGAAGGGTGTTTCTCTCTTAAGCCTTTCAGCAATGGGCTGGTGACAGTGATGGTCCCCCAACTTCGTCGGGAGAACAGTCTCCTTCTGTGGAATGTCTTTGACCTGAACACGCCTGTCCACACTTTTGTGGGACACGATGATGTCGTGCTGGAGTTTCAGTGGAGGAAGCAGAAAGAAGGTGAGTTCAGGACTGGATGTGCTCTCCTCCCTGCATGGTGGCTGTCAGCTAACCAGGGGTGTGGAGACCTGGCTACAGGGCTGTCACTGTTTGGCTCTTGCCTTTCCTTGGCATTTTCCTGCCCTAACTCCACTCAAAGTACAGCTGTTCTGTACTGGTTTTATGGCAGTGCCCACAAAAGCATTACCTTCTTGTTCCCATGCTAACAAAGCAAATCTACCAAATGCTGAGTGGGTCAGCAGTGACTCTTATTGCTTCCACTCTCCTGTGAGTCTATTTTTAAATGAATGTTTCAGAATAAATTGTGCAAACTATGAGATGGGTGCACAAGTGCAGGCACCCTCCCCCTGCTCAGAGCTGCAGGCTAACCAGTTAACCCCTCACATCATGGCCTGGATCAGCAGCCTCCAGCATATCCCAGACCACAGACCCAGCAGAGCCACCTTATGTGTGTGCTGGCCAAGGCAGGGGTGGGATAGAGAGGCTGTTGTTAAGAGTTCAGTCCTGACTGAATTTTCCAGCAGCTAAGTATAGGAGATTCCACGCCAGAGGCTGGATAACCACACAGAGCACAGCTTTGTTTCCAGCACCTCAGCTGCCGTTGACAGAACGTGCACGTCTGGCTTTGGAGTCACTTGTGCTGCAGCTTTGCAGTGCTGTGTAAAAGTGCAGATCCAGCCTTCTGCCAGCAGCTGCTGGGGACATTCAGCTCTCACCACCTTCTCTGTATCTTGCTTTTCCTCTTTCAAAAAGAGGAGAGCAATAGAGAACCATGTTAGGGTCTGGAGGCACAGTCAAAGGCAGTTTGTGAATGAGAATTCAAGCAGGCTTGAGCCACAGTTGGTTGTCTTGGCTGAGTTAATAGATATATACCCAAGGCTGGACGTCATGCTTGTCTCAAGCAATGTGAATCAATCACACAAGCATTCCAAGTCTGCTTCAGTGTGGAGGCAACCAAGACAGCACAAATTTCCTTCCACAGAGTCTCTTGTGCTGTATTTAGACACCCCCTGTGCCTCAGCAGACGGGTGTAGGAAGCAGCTGTGCAGCAGCAAATTCTTTAAACGTAGCAGCTGTTTGACAAGGGAAACTTAAAACTGTGTCACAAGACCTAAACATGGACATAAATAAGTCTGTGTACCTCTGTCTGTTGATAGATAGTATGTGGCTAGATTTATGTCCTTACAACTTGAACTTGTCTTGGCATCACCCAGCTCTTTCGGAAGGAAAAAATGAAGGGCAGAGCCCGCTTCTCTTAGCTTAGAAATGTTTTAAAACATCTGCATCTGGAAACAGATTTGATGAGCTAAAAGATATTTTTACTTCACAGTTATAGTTGGGAAACATTTATTTTTATGATACTATTTTTCTATTTCAATAAATATTGTTGTAGATCTTGTTCATTCCTAGTTGGAAAACTTGTGTCACATTCATTATACTTATTTTATGCCTTTGGCCTATAAACTACAGCCCATTTAGGGGTGTGGTAACTGTGGTGCAGGGGGGCACAAAGGCCAGTTCAAAGCGGAAGAGGACTTGCTCTACCTTTTGGTTTGTGCCTTATCCACTGGATGTCCCTGCTGGCTCGTTTGAATCTGTTTATATTGAACACAGGGCTGAGATAGTCTCTGTTTTCCAGTGGGGTCTCCAATGGCTTCTGTCCTTTTTAGGTTCCAAAGACTACCAGCTGGTGACGTGGTCCCGCGATCAGACCCTGCGGATGTGGCGGATCGACTCCCAGCTGCAGAGGGTATGTGAGCACTTCTGCTCTGCAGCAGCAGACAGTTTTCTTACAGGCTGGATTCACCTCCCTTTTCTCACACTCCCAGTCGCTCCTCTGATTCCTAGAGCTGCAGACACAGCAGCCAGCTGCTGCTTCACTTACCTCTTCAGCTCCAGCCCAAAAACATCCCCAAGGAGACCTGTGATGGGGCTTCTCTGAGCCTGTGCCTCAAAAGCTTCTGTGGAAGGGCAGGGCTGCTCTGTTGCCTAACAGTAAGCACAGGAGTTGTTTGGGGAGGGCGAAGGTTGGTTGCTGCCTGCAGTGCCTCTGAAGATGCCACCTCCATGCGTGCAGGACTGTATGATTAGTTCTTGGTGGTTTAGGCATTAGGGAAATGTAGGGATTGTGCCCTCCACTTCTTTCCTGTGTTTCCTTTGCCCCTAAGCCTGGGGCAGGAGGTGTGAGTCCCGTGGTTCTGCTCTGTGCAGCAGTGAGAGGTTGCTGATGCAGTTAGTGGAACAACTGTGCTGGGTCAGACCAGAGGTTCATATGGCCACAGTGACCATATGGCCTTGTCACATCTTCTTGGAAGGGGATAGGTAGGCATGGAGTGATATTTCACTCAAATGCCCTGCCAGCCTCCTGCAGTTTGCAGCTCAGAGGCTCATTTAGTTTGCTGCCTTTGTATTTGACAGAGCTTGATGAGGTTCACTTCAGAGATTTTCTGTCTTTTCTTGGACCTTTGTAAATTTTTGTCACCTTAAACATCCTATCAACAAGGAGTTTCATGGCTTTTCTGCATCTTGTGTGGAAAACCAGCTACTTTCATTTGTTTATTTTGCAACCTGCTAATTTCATTACATTGAAGATAAAATGAACCATCTCTGCCACTGATGATTCTGTAGACCTCCATCATATCCCTCCTCACCTGCCTCCCTTTTCAAGTCAAAGGGTCGTGATTTACTTCATGCTTTGTGCTAGAACTTTGATTGTCCTTTTACCTTTCATGACCCTTTTTCAGTTCTACCATATACTTTTTGGGTTGGGGATCTGAACCTTGTTCTTTCCACAGAATTCTCACTACTCACTTTGATTTTTGAAGTGTTGGACATAATTCCATGAAAACATCAGCTTAGTCTGGCCTGTACATCTTGTTCCCTCAGTCGGCTTGAACTTGCCATTTTTTCCCCATGTTCATTGCTTTATATTTACCTGAACCAAAGTTCGTCTTGCATTTTAATACAGTTACTCCTGTAAGGTCCTTCTGTGATTGTTTGCTGTCTGCCACACTTGTTGCTGCCCTGAAAAACTTGGTGGCATCAGCAAACCTGGTCATGTCGCTATTCACCTCCTATTCCAGGTTTTTAATGAATATGTTGAGAAGCATGTGTCCCAGCACAGATCCTGCAGGAGTCCTGCAGGTCTGTAACAAACTTTATGAAAAATGACCCTTTTCTCCTACCTGATATATCTGTGAACATTTGATTTCTTTCCTGTCTTTAAATCAATTGTTTGTTCATGTCAGAGCCTTTACTTTTCCTCTGCTGGCTCCCACTCTTTTGTCCTTGTCTTTGTCTGGATCAAACTACACACATGATGGCATGTTGCTGGTGACCAATGCTGCAATTTGCTACATCACACTGTTATCCTTTCTCTTCCCTATGTTTCTTCTCTTCATCTTCCCAGTTTTCCTGTGCTGAACTTAAAATACAGGGTTTTATGGCCTCATTTTGATAGAGAACCTGGAACACTAGGGCCCTTAGTATATACTTGGGTCTCTACTGGAGTGTAAATATCAGTCACAGAAAGTATGCTACTATTACATTTGACTTAAAAAATTAAACAAATTTTGACAAATTATTTCAAGGACTTACAGTCATATCAGCTTTAGTTTTGATTAAAGTAAAACCTCTGTTACTTAGACTGGCCCTGTCGATTAAGTGGCTTTGTAAGTGAGCAGGAGATTTGTCCAGGCTGTCTGAGGTGACAGAGCTGAGGGTGCTGCAAAGTGGAATATCACCTGTCTTCATCACAGAAACAGTGCTGAGGTCTTAGTCATGACTGTTGCGTGGACCTACCTTGCAAATGCATCTGTCTGGAGGAATGAGTTCTTTAGTGGTGGCTCTTTCCCCAGCTTGGATTCTGTTGTGCAGCATGTGCATGTGTTTGTTCTTTTCAGCTCTGTGCTAATGATATCCTGGATGGAGTTGAGGACCTGATTGATGGGATTTCTCACCTGCCAGAGCCAGACAAGACCCTTCACCCCCAGGATGCGGAGCCCCAGCATAACTCTGGACACGGGGATGAGGAAGGTGAGAGAAGTGATGCCTTGTGGGACCTCAAACATCAGTGTTTTTGTGTCGGGAAGAAGGCACATCTTGGCATAAGAAAACCTCGTAGGCAAAGCACAATCTGGTGTTTCAAAGGTTAATGGATTCCCCATTAGGGAGGAAGAAAAACACTAGAGGTTCCTCAGGATGGTCCTCCCAAGTTTCTTCTCTTCTAACACAATGATTCTACCTGTAAAACAAAACTCTTCCCTTTATCATTTAATTCCTTCTGATTATCATTTAATTGCATTCGCTTTAGGTTGTAGTTGTGGCTTGTTGCCAAAAATAAGGCAATCAGTCAGGCAATAAGGTAAGTTCTGGCTCAAGATGAGTTTAAGCCGAGAGATGAGCCCACAGAAGAGGGGCATGTGTGGGTAAAGCACTCTGACACAAGCTGCTCACATCACCTCTGCTGGGGCTCACTGTGTGAGCTGATCTAACAAGGAGATATTTGCTGGTGTCTTCACCAGAAGTGGATATGGAGAGAGCTCATGAATTTTTGGTAATCTATTAGTTAGAGGTGGCTGAAGGCTGGCAGAGCAGAGGGAGAGGAATATTGTCTCCAGCTTCTGAGTGCCAGAAAGGTGGATGGGAATGGGTCAGAGACCTTAACAGAAAGCATTGGTTTGGCTTTATAGAAGAGGAGGCCCAAAAGGAAGGAACATGAAGGAGGGTTTGTGTGGTTAAGGCTCTGGCCAGGTTAAACATTCAGGGTTAGTGTTTGAAGAGTGTAAATACCAGAATAGAAGAATTTGGAGCAGCTGAGACCCGTGGTGGTGACATGCATGTGAAAAAGGTCTCTAAAGAGATTTTTGCAGCTGTACTGAGGAAGAAGAATTGGGTGCACCCACACCTTTGTGTCAGTTTGGTTTTAAGGTCACAGCTCCTTTCTGTATTGTAGCAGTGCTACAATGGATCCCCATGTGAGGGGTTTACAGGGGAGGGATTTGATTCTCCCTTTGACTTGCTGACAAACTGCAGAGAAGGGGAGGAAGTGGTCGAATGTCTGTCCTTTGAATAAAGGAGCCAGTTGTGAGGCCCCTTAGTGAAAACATCTCTTCCTAACTGGAAGTTTCCTGCCCAGCAATCTCCAGTGGAGTTCCTCTCTGCCACCTGTCCTATGTGGCACCGGAACAAGTTTCTGAAAGACACCACCAGTTCTGTCTACAGGAGGGTTTTATGATATGACAGAAAAGGCCTGGCTACCTGTGCTCACCATGAGCAGTATTTCTGGGGTAGCACAACCTCTTCTGCTCCAGCTGGGAGCATTAAGTGTCCTCATTCTGGCTGCCTGACCTCTCTTTTTTCCACAGGAGAGAGTTAACTCTTTCACTGCCCCAATGAGGTCACATCCATACGTACTGTGTAGTTTCTGTGTGGGTCTGGCTTTGGTTCAGACTGGTAGGGTTTTCCTTGTGGCCAAAGGGAATGCTTTTCTGTAGCAGGGTAGATTTTACTGCAAATAGCATGACTGCAGGATTAATGTACAAGCAAATCCCTAGGTAGGAATTTCAGTGCTTTCTAGCCTAAAAGCTATTGTGGACTGTTGATGTTTCAGCCTGGAGGTGGCTGCATTTCAGCTGCAGACAAAGCCTCCATGTTACATTAATAAAGCACTTTGGGGGATCTTTGAAGGGAGCAGAGCTCTGCAGGTAAATCAGGAAGCCCCCAACTGTGCCTTCAGTGTGCAGCTCTCCTTGCTGCTGCTGCATATAGAGGAGCTTTAGGAATCTGTACAAATATGTGGCTTTTGGGGGATTAGAAACTAATTGGAAGGGAATGGGAGGAGAAGACAAAGGGAGGGTACTGCACATACTGGGAACCTCAGAGATGGCTTTTCAGTAAGCTGTGTGGTGTCTCGAGCTAGAAATAATTATCTTCCCTGAGAGCCACTGATCTTCCTTTAATCTCCTTTTCAGCTCCCTTTTCTGAGGTATATCTAAGCACTGTAATAAAATTGCAAACAGGAATGAGTGGCTAAGCATCCTTACCTATCCAAATTCAGTAACCCAATGGGCAGCAGTAATACCAGATATTTGTCCCAGCAGCAAAGTCAGTAACTTTTAGGCAAATGCCTGTAAAAGGTCAACTTTTTGCATTTCTTGTAATTTATTTTTTTGCTAGGAGTTGTCTGTGCAATGTGATATTTTAAGTGTGAGAATGACAGCTGAAAAGATCAGGACTTCCCTTCTGCCCTTGGAACTATCATCAGGAAATATATTTGGCCTTAAGAAGTGATGCCACAGTGAAACACTCTCAGAAGGAGCTGCCCCTGCCCTAATGGGGGTACATAGCAAAAAAAATGAGGCAAAAGCCATGCACAACCACAGGCAGAGACCGATTTTTTTCTGAAACTCAGTGAAGTTTGTCATCTTAACCATAATTCCTTGTGTCCTGCAGTGCTTGCCTGGCTGTTTAAATGTATTCTGGCCTTCAGGGATTATTGTCCTCCTGAAAACCGTTTGAACTGGAGAGCTAGACCCAGCATTTTGATGAGTCTTTAAAGACTGTTAAAGCACTAGAGTGCTTTGCAACATTAAATGCAAACGGCTGCTACAAATGAATTAAGCCTCTATTAGGACCAGAAATACTCTCTGCTCTCTCCCAAAGCATTGTTATACTTTGGAAGCTTTCCCTGAAAGCTAAGAGTGGTGATGGTGGGGGATGGTTAGTCCCAAAGACCAGAGCTCCTCCTGGAGAGTGCTTTGGCTGCAGTTCTTTCCCACTGAACTGGGAAGCTCCAGTTCAGCTGATTGTGACTCTGGCAGCACTGTGTAGGGAGGAGAAGGGGTCTCAAATGAGAAGAGAAGGACTGTTTAGGGCTGTACAGAGTACAGGCAACTTCTGTAACCTTCCCAGGAAGCCTGTGTGCAGACAGGTTTGTTCTTTTGAAGAGAAGGGTCAGAAGCCTGCCTGTAAACAACAGCTGAGACCCTCCAGCTTGCAGGGCTTTGCCAGGTAAAACTCATACCTCCATGTGTCAGAAGGGCAGAGGAAAACCTGCTGTCTTGGCTGCCTCCTGACATTGCCTGCCCAAAGTCTGTCTGTAATGGTTTGGCTCAACCTGTTTTCCATCTTTCCCATCAGCCTTAAAAGAAGATTTCCTGAATGACCCTCTGGTGGGAAAGAAAACGGACCAGCTGGGGCTGCCTCAAACCCTGCAGCAGGAGTTCTCACTGATCAATGTGCAGATCCGAAATGTCAATGTGGAGGTAGAGAGTTTCCTTTTACTGGCTTCTTAGGAGGGGATGTGGGCAGGCTGGCTCATGGGAGCCTTTAGAGGGGAACCTTCTTTGCTACAGTGACTGCTGTCTGTAAACAAGTTTTATTTTAAGCTGTAGAGATCCTCTTGGCCAGGGGTAGTAAGAAAGAGGATAATCCCAGACACTGGGAGTGAGGGAAGTGTTTCAGCACAGTAAGTACACTGGCTGATCTTGAGAAGACTGTGTGGTGTCTTCCTCTCTGCCTGGACTGCAGAGTGGAAAGCGATGTGTTCCATGCAGCTGGTCTCATTTCAGCTGTTTCTGAACCCCATCTGCTGAGCCTTCCCTATCTTGCACTCTCTCCCTCAGTTTTGGCATCTCCCTTGCATTCCAAACCCTCCTCTGTGCATGGAATCTGGCTGGAGGTACAGCACTGGACTGGGCTAGGAGGCCACTGCCTGTCTCCTTTCCTTACCCCTGTGGTTTTGCAGCTCATGGCATGATCCTGGTGGAGTTTTCTGAGACAGTGGTACAGAATCTTAGATGATGCCTGTTACTGCTGCACTGGGCCTGGAGCTCTCCATGACCAAGTGAAGTGGGCTGGAGTGCAGCAGCTTTTGGGAGCAGAGCCTGATTCCTGGTGCTGCCTGGGCTGGCCTTGGTTCTCCAGATGCTGGGATGCTGGATTGTCAGTCTGCTGGTGCAAGAAGAGTCTGTGCCCATCTGCCTGGGGTTTTTTGCTGTAACCGTGTTCCCTGCCCTTGAGAACAGCTTGACTTTGTCTTATGGGGCTGTGGAGGAATCAGTCCCTCAGCATGAATTTAAGCCACTTTTAAGTTAAAAAGTCCCTGGAGATGTGACTACAGAGCAGTTTCTTTCCCTCACAGATGGATGCAGTGAGTCGCAGCTGTACGGTGTCGGTGCACTGCGGCAACCACAGAGTCAGGATGCTGGTGATGTTCCCTGTCCAGTATCCCAATAACGCTGCACCGTCCTTCCAGTTCATCAACCCAACCTCGATCACAGCCTCCATGAAGGCAAAGCTGCTGAAGGTGTGTGTGGAGTATGCACTGTCTTTATAAAAATACAAATGCTGTATGCTTGATGTCTAGATTTTACTGACACAAAACATCTGATCTTGCTGAAGACATTCCGCAGGTCATACTGAACTGATAGATTGTGGAGCCCAAAGGATGAGGTTTCTGTTGGCATTGCACCCAAGTATTTGCCTTTCTCTGCTGGTCCTTTTTAAACACTGCTGCTGTGTTCCCGTGTATTGCCTGAGGATCCCTAACATCCTTCTCCTCATGCAGTTGCCCTCAGCCCCCCTACTAGACAAAATGACCAACTAAGGATCCAGCTGCAGAATGATAGTATTTTTGAGCTGGGTTGTTGCTTCCTGCTCTCCTTCACGAACTGTTTTAAAAATGAGGGGACTTTTTTCGTGTGGGCCCTGCCAATTCCAGACCTGGTGTTTGATCGTCTCGTGTAGCAAATCTATTGCTAATGGAATCCCTTCCCCATCAGCAAGTTGATGGAATGGTTTGGGTTCCTTCCTGAAAAAAAAATTGACCCAGTTTACCACAAACTGGTATGAAACATATGGGTCACAGCAGTATGGAAGCCCAAATCCTGGCTCAGAGTGTGCTGCATCCACATGAACCTCAGTGCTCTGATCAAAGCTCACAGCCATTCCTCAGAGTACACAGCACACCAGTGGCTCCAGTGCATGTTAGGGGGGATGTCTTTGGCTTCTCTGGGTCCTGGCATCTTTGCTGCTCTGCAGACAAAAAGGATGTGAGCAAAGTGTAGATGTAACCATGATTCAAGCTGCATCTTGTATGTATTCCAGATACTGAAAGACACTTCCCTGCAGAAAGTGAAGCGGAACCAGAGCTGCCTGGAGCCCTGCCTGCGTCAGCTGGTCTCCTGGCTGGAGTCTGTCGTGGTACGGAGGACTGCGTGGGCTCTCTGCCCCAGTTTGTTGTCTTCTCCCATGCCCCACACTTCTGACTCTGCAGTGAGAGCCTGGCCTCATTAGATGTGTAAATAGACCCCTGTGACTGGCCATTACATTTGTGTGAGCACTTCTGGTTAACGTTGAAGAGAACTGGGTGGATGATCAGACGTGTTTTGTTTCCACAAATGAGGCCCTGAAGGTTTGCTGCTTTGGGAAACTCTGATATTCAGGTTGGGGGGAGTGACTGGGGCTTGGACAGTGGTGCATGGTATCTTCCCAGCTCAGAATATATCTCACTGAGTGCCAGGGCATGGTTATCATCTGTGAGAGAAGATAAGAGGCCTCAGGGAGTTGATGGATTCATTCTTGTCTGAAAGGCAGTGGCAGATGTCTTTACCTTCTCAGTTAAGATCCTGCTAGTCCTATTCTAGGGTTTTTGTTTTATTCCCTTAAAAAAAAAACCCAAACTGTGAAAATCTGGGTTTTTTTGAAGCTTTGTGCTGAGGTTTTGTAAGGATGATACTGCAGATAAATCCAAGTCACATTCTGCTCTGAGCTGAGAGATCTGTGATACCTACTCAGCATCCCAGTGTCAGCTATTTGGTCTGTGTGTGGGTGAAGTGTACCAGAGTGGGTGTTTTTAGCATTCAGGAAAAGATTGGAGAGTCTCCTCAGGTTTCTTTTCTGAGAGGTTTTGTTTATTCTTCACAAATAAAGGGCTTTTTTTTTTTTTTTTTAAATGCAGAAAGGCTTAATTCTGTTTGGTTTCAGCAGTAATATTGTAAGAGTGGGAACTTTCCCTGCTGTATGGAAATCTGATGACTCAAGCCAGGCACCACTGCCTTTAAAGAATTCCTTTAGACCTAAGTTGTAGTGTTCTTTATCCAAATAAATGCAGATTTCTGCCAAAATTCCTATGGATAGGCTTGAGGTCCCCCAGTATTTCACACCACCTGCCTTCCTCACTTGAAGGCTCCCAACCTGCATTTGATGCCCCACAGTTGTGTGGTATTCCCATTTATGGAGATTTTGTCTCCCTTGCATCATTGAGGTATCAGGTTTAGCTCAGCTTGCTGTCTTGAGAGTCATCCAGAGTGTGAAGGTCAGATTTCTGTATACTTTCCCACTGTTTCTCCCCAAGTTAAACTCTGCATTTCAACATGGTTTGCCTTTGCAGCCGTGCTCTGAGCTTGGTCTGCTCTGGCTTGAAGGATGAGCACCTCCTGTGAGGCTGGTTGGCAATGCCATGTCCGGTTCTCTGGCTGGATTTCTTTCCTGTGGCAGCAGGGGTGTGACCTTGGGTAACTTGTGTTTCAGAACCAAGAGGACAGCACGTCCAGCAATCCCTACGCTTTGCCAAACTCCGTAACACCCCCCTTGCCCACGTTCGCCCGGGTCTCCAACGCCTACGGCTCCTACCAGGACTCGAACATCCCATTTCCACGGACCTCTGGAGCCAGGTTCTGTGGTGCAGGTTAGCCCATCGCTGATGTGTTACAACAGCTACCCGGGGAATGCTCCTTTTCAAGTCTTGGGGAACACCTGCCTCTGAACAAGGCTTTGGTCACTGCCATGCAGCGAGTAAGAAATGATGTTCAAGTGGCGATGTCGTGGTAAATTTATGGATGAGACTAGTTAACAACTGTTTGCAGTTGGTGTTGCATGGTGGGATTTTAGGATTTGGAAATGCAAGCTGTCTGAAGAGATGGCCTTTGGCTTGTGGCATGCCAGAGGCATTGACAGATCTCTTATACAGAAATCTGGGAATAGCTGTTTTCTTGCCTGGTTCTCTCCTGCCAACATCACGTTGCTGGATGTTTTCTGGTGCTCAGTCTTCGTGAAATTCCTGTGGTTTGGGGTTGAACTTAGCCCTTGATGAAACCATATTCTTGTTACTAACCATTCTTTTCTCATCCTGCACTCTCTCTGATGTCCAAAAGAGCTTTCCCAAGGTCATTGGGAAACTTCCCCTAAGCGGGAAATGGGGTGCAATCACATCCAGGTTTCCAGGACAGCATACAGGGCAAAGATCATTCAAAAACAGGTTAAGGTCTGAGTGAGAGCTGTTAAGTTTCACTGAGCTGTTTCAGATGCATGCATGCTTCCTCTGGACCTGACTGCATCCCAGTCTGAGTGTGTTTTGAAAGCTGCTTTCTACACAGGCCTCTCAATTCCCAAGCAAAAGTAAAACAGAATAGTACTGCATTGAATAGGCTCAGTGAAACCTGCTAAGTCCTGAAACTCTTGCAAGACTGGGTGGCTGAAAACACTTGAGGTGCTAACAAACGGGGTAAGTCTTGTGAGAGAGTGCTTTGGAGTTGGCTTCAGATGGCTGGGGCTCTCCTGTTGAAGAGGAGAGTTGTACAAGCTGCAGTGGTTTCTCTCCATTGCCAAACATTGCCTCACTTGCCTCTGGAGCATCAATGCTTGACAGGTTCTGGTGAAGAGTAAAACATGAGCAGGTATTTGCTCATTTTCCTGTCTTTTCTGTAACAGCTGTAAGCCACTTGAAATGGTGCTTTTAAGAGAAACATCTCAACAAAACATGCTTCAGGGAGGGAATTTGGGTTGAGAAAATGTGGTTGTCTACTTGTAGTTTAAAAGTGCTCGGGGTAGTGGATAGGTGCCCAGCCCCTTGCCTCTGATACCTTAAATGGTATCCAGGTTTCCCTGTGTTCACCCTTGAGTAATCTACTCCTTGTTGCACGATCTTTATGCCATGTTCTGTCTCTTCAGGGTACCTGGTGTACTTCACAAGACCCATGACCATGCACCGCGCGGTGTCTCCGATGGAGCCCACGCCCAGGTGAGTGCCCTGCGTGGCATTTGGTGTGTGCTGCAGTGGGCAGGAAGGCAGGAGAATGTCAGAACCTACACTGGAGCTACTGACCTCTAGTGTTAGCTGTGCCCTCGGCACGGAGAACCTGGGCCCTTACATCGCTGTGCCTCAGCAGAGACTCCTTTCAGGACACGGGAACCAATGTTTGCAGCTCGGGTTTGTGGAGATGTCAGCGGGAACCTGCAGGACCTCTGGTGGGTGAAAGCCCCTGAAAGTGTATTCCCTTTTTCCAGGTCCCTGTCAGCTCTATCAGCGTACCACAGTGGCCTCATCACTCCGATGAAGATCCGCACGGAGACTCCGGGCAACCTGCGTCTGTACAGTGGGAGCCCCACACGCAGCGAGAAGGAGCAGGTCTCCATTAGCTCCTTCTACTACAAAGAGAGGGTAAGTACCAGACCAAAACACTTCTCCTAACACTTCAGCTTTTGTGATCTCTTTTCCTTTAATTTAGCATTTCTAGTAAGAGAAGCTTCATATTCCTCTCAAGAAGACATTTTTTTACAGGCAGCTCTGTAAAATGTCAAATGGATTTATCTCCTATTAGTCACTTCTTTACTGATCCTCTCTAGCATTTGACCTGCTTATTTTGGTGTTTCTCTATGCTGACCATCAGAGTTTCCTTCAGTGCATTACACTGTCTCGCTTTTCATTACATAGGGTTAAAATCTCACACTTTAAGAAGTCATAGTCTCCAGATAAGTACATATAGGCAGCTTTTGCTGTTCTGGGTACTCCCTGACATATGTAACTGCAAAGGGTTTTGGCTCTCTCCAGCTTACTGCCAGCCTCTCCTGGATTATGGGATATAGTTGGTTATTTCTATTTCAGGTGTCTTTTTCAGGGATATATGCCCCTTGGGACCTTTTTTTTTTAAACAAAAATCATTCCTGCATGATTCTCTGAAGATCTTCCAATCCACATACTCCTGGTTTAGGTGTAGGTTTTGCTGTCACTGCTGTTTACAAGCAAGGCTTTGGGGGGAGAGTGGGATTGTTTCCTTCTGTTGTAACTGCAGAGTGGCCACAGGGTAGTTGTGAAGCAGCTGTGAGGGCCTGATGTGCCTGGAACAGACACTGTGGGATTAATAGGCTGAGCAGGTTTCTCAGAAACAAACTCTGGGCTTCAGCAGGGGATGAAGTGGCTTGCAAAAATGCAGTAAGCTTCCACTGAGAGCCTAAGAACTTGGGGCATTTGAGTAGTTTGCTCACTGTCCATGTAGAGGGCACTAATCTGCTGCAGCAACAGAGAGCCTCCAGCTACCCCAAGGAAAGCTAAAAGCTGTCTGCACTCTGCTGCAGTGCAGCTTGGGAACTCCTGTCCTGGGAGCAAAGGGAAAATCAGAGCCTTGAACTCCCATCCTTCCTGGGCATTGAAAGAGGTCTTGTTTTTCTAGTGGTGCTGGATGTGGCAGCCAACCCTGTCTTTGGGACTGTGTCCTGCTTACATGTTATTTATTACACCTACCACACCTCTGGCCCCAGGTGCAAACTTTGCCTCCATGCAGACCCCAGAAGACTCTGAGACCCCATTCTGGTTTTTTTCCCCCACACCACCTTTTTTTTTTTTTTTTTTTTCTGAAAAGAGAAAATAGTGCTGCCTGGTACAAGAATTACAGCCTGTCCTCGTCTTTGCAGGAGAGTTTATTTAAAGAGCTACCTCTGTCCTCTGCAGCATGCTTGTCTCCGACACGCAGCTCTCTAAGATGACAGAGAAGGCTAAAAATAACATGTGGAAGCAGCTTGGTGCAATTTCATGTGACCTGTCTCCCCAGCCCTCGTATAGATGGCGACAAGATTTTTGTCACGGGGTAAAAAAAAAAAAATCAGGAGAGCAAAGCCATGTCTGCTGAAAGCCAAGGGAAATTCCTGTGTTCTACTTCCCCCTGCCAAGGTATCTCCTTGCATGCTGGAAGAAATGTAAGGACTCTAGCAGGGAGCTAGTTCTAATGTTCTTGCAGATGACATAGTTTTAAAAAAACCCAAAAAACCTATATCTCCCTTCAGCAGAGGTTTTCTAATTCTTCAGGATTTGATGTCATGGCCTCTGTTAGATCAATGCTACATATTTTTATGTCACTTCATTGTGAGGCTTTTAAAAAGCCCAGACTCTGAGTCTAGTTAACTCCTTGCTCTGAAGCTCGGATTTTATGTTTGCATTAAATAGAAGTTGAAATTTTGTGCATTAAACTCTGATAACTTCAGGCCTGACACTGAATTTGTCAGCGTTAATCAAGTATTTAAATCCCATGTAGCAGCAGCCACTGGCATCACTACCATTAGCAAACAAATGGAATCTGCCCATTGCTAGACAGCAAAGATGTCATGTTCCCATAAAGGCAGGGGAGCTACTGAATCCAGCAGAGAGCTCCTTAGTAAACCAAATTGAAACTCACCCTGGCACTGAGCCTCTCTGTGCTCATTTAAGTGTGTGTATACACACACACACACGTATATATATCTTTCTCACTTTTTATGCACACATGCACACTCCTCCTTCCTTCCTCCCTCTTTTTCACTCCTCAAAAAAACCCCACTGAAGAGCAGCAGTCAGCAGAAAGGAGGAGCTGTATCTGTACTGTGCCGATGCCGTCAGTGTTTCAAACCTGGGTGTCTCTTAAAGAAGGTGCCATGGCTGTGTTTTTTCTCCCTACAGTTAGAGGGTCATGCCAGTGGGGACACAGGGACAGCTCAGCCTTGCTGTACACAGTGATGGTGACAGTGGTGACCTTATGCTTCCCATCAGGGAGTTGGTGGGCAGACTGAGTGTAGTTTTTTACTTCTCCACTGTACCAAATTCCCTTCAACTAACCCTTTTCTCCTTCTCTGTGAGGCCTGATGAGGAACCTGTAGCACAGGGCTCTCTCTTTCCATGGGGCCCTGCAGCCTCAGCTCCCTGGCTGCAGGGTTCCCCCAGCAGTGAGGTGCACAGGGATGTAGAGGCTGAAGGCATGGCTGATGGTCCTGACTGTCTATCACCAGCTGAAAATAAATGTTACATACATTACATATGACCCAAAGAACCCCTTCTATTGTATTGACTCTTACAGAACTGTACACAGAATATTTTTTTGAAGTGAGTGTACAGTAATGTGGTTTGAAAGATCCCATTTGTTGTTGCTATAATACTGCATTGAGTTCTGAAATGTCTGCAGGTTCCTAATGAAAACCTACTCTGGAGCTATCCTGCATCATCAGTCAGCGAATTTGATTGCTCACTCAATCTGAATGAGTTCCTCAACCCGTAATGACAATTTCCACATGGCCCTGCCAAGTAGCAGTGTCTCTACATCCCTTCTAATATCCTGACATATGGCTTTTATTGTTTAAAATGAAAGTGAACAGTTACAGCAGGTTCCAGTGAATGAAGTCCTGGAGCATGCTGAATGTTAAAGGGATATCTGAGTAAGCAGGAGTGTTTGTTTAGCTTCCTGCAGATTTCTGTGCCATGGCATTGGACAACTGTGGTAAAAATGATGCAGTTTGCACTTCAGGCAAGAGGAGTAAAACTGATTAGAGTTTAGGCATGCGGGGCACTTGGGTGTTGTCCTCTGCTCAATTCATGGTACACAAAGCAGTTCGGTGCTTCTTGCAATAATACAACTCTGTGTGGAAGACTTTATTCAGATTTGGGGTTGCCAGTCTTCCATCAAAGCTGGTATGGGGCACAGGCACAGCAGCTCTTGCTTTGCCATGGCCGTAGGTAACGTTGCGTGGTGCAATTGTGTGAGGATGAAAGCGGGGGAATCGTGGTTTGCAACTGTTCATTGTGTAACAGAACTGTTGGGACCAGTATCTTTTACTCTGCTGGTTCAGGGCACTTTTCATTTCAGTTTATTTACCTCTGTCTTTAATTTTCTTGGTGTCTCTCTTCCCTTTTCCTGGGTATAACGTTTTCGCGTACAGATGTCTCCTCGCTCTGCCCGGCGACGTTGGTCCATACAAGCAATTAACGACTTCCCGGTACTGTGTGCTGTGCTAATGCTGTCCTTGATATGACCCTGTCTTCTGCCCAAGGGCCCAAGAATAAGATGCCACCTGCCTGCCTTTGAGCAACCTGCACAGGAGTGGGGGAGTCGCACTCCACACAGGGCCTAGGGCTGCAGTAAGAGCTGTAAGTGGACAGGAGCAGACAGCAGCTGGCAGGGTACAGTTGCTGACCCACAAGATGCCTGTTCCACCTGGCCTTGCAGTCAGGAAAGGATGCCAAGGGATAGTTTGAAGCATAAGAAAAGATCAACTTCTAAGAAAGAGTGCCCTGTAGAGGAGCTGAGTGATTATTATACATCATCAACCAACTGATGAGACTGACATTAGAGCACCTCATTTCTGAGAAGATAAAGCCTTGCCAGAGAGGGAGGAAAGGTCACTTAAGAGCTGTGGAAGGAACAAACTGGTTGAGTTCCTGACAGTGATCTGTCATCTCGTTAAAATGTGTTGCCAGTTCTCAATGCAATCCACCATACAGTCTTATTTCCTGGACCAGTAAATAGAATTTCTCCTTAATTTGTGATCTTCTCCCAGCCCTTGGAATTGCACCGCCCTGCATTCAGTTGGAGTGGTTGCACTTCCAACCACCCTGGTACTGCCTCCTCCTGGCACCTGCCCTTCTGAGTTTGCTTTGAAGTAGTTTTCTATTAGTCAGGTCCACGTGTCCCTCAAGCTTGAACATCATTCATGTGAACATCTTGATGATATCAGGGTTGCTCAAGCTGTGCTGTACGTTTGGGCAATTACTATCTCATCACTCATCTGCCAAGCATAGACAAAGCTCAGAAAACTCAATTTCAATTTTAAAATGATCTCTGTAGGTCCGTTTGTCTTAATGTCTGTGTGAACAGCTGTTTTTTCACAGCTGCTGTCCTTCATGCTATCTCTTCCTAAGGCAGCAGGGAATAAAATAGAATCCTGTAACACTTAATTTAACTTGGTATAATAGGATCAAACTTTCCTAATTACAACAGCTCTAAGACTATACTAGCAAATAATAGGTGAAAGAAAGCAGAAGTAATTTGCATGACTCCATCAAGCCTTTTTGCAAAGAGCTAATAAAGAAATGGGAGCAGTGGATGCAAGAAATGAAGTTCTGTCTTGGATCAGGAACAGACTGAAGGAAAGAAAAAAATGAAGCAAGGAACTTGCCAGGTTGTGGTGTGATAAACTGTGGTGCACAAAGGTCCACAGTTTAATTCCCTTACCACTGCCCTGGAAGGAAGAGCAAGTAGTGATGTGATAAAGTTATAATTTTGTCTAACATATACTTAAAAATGATGCAGGGGTTAGTCCAAGCCTTGAAGGATTGATTGCATTTGTGGATAACCTTTGGAAGAGGCTGATCTGACTCTCTAAATTGGCAGTAGTTGCCTCAGGCGAAGACACAGGCATACATGAGGAGAGGCGTGGGTTATTAGTTCAGACCAGGTGCCTTCCTGCTGGGAGAAGAGCTCAGCATTGCCCAGGCAGCTTGGGGAACCTAGAGCTTAGCAAGTTTACAAGAAGCAATAATTCATCCTTCCTAGGTAATGGCTAGCCTCCTCTGCCCAGGTGCCTGTGCTTCAGGGCAGGTGCCAGCTATTGATTGATGGAAGCTATAAAGAAATATTCCTGCCGTGGGGCACTTGATTCAAAAGGGCCTTGTCTTTCTTTAGCACCTTTGTGGGAGATGCTGGAAATAGTAAATGTTGATTATTTTGAAGAGAAGATCCAGGCAGTGCTGCATGAGCCACATGGGGGAGTCGGTGTGTAGGCAGTTGTTCAGAATAAAGGAGCATAGCTTTCTGCAGGGAGGCAGCAATTTTTACATTTTATTTCAAAAGAATAATATTAGAAGCAGTTTGAACCTGACTTTGAGCAAGATTAATTATTTTCTAAATGCTTCATTGTAGCTTAATCTTTGGCATTGAGTCTGTTTTCTTCTGCCCACAACCCTTCCCTTTGCCCTACTAAGGCCAGCTGATACCACGAATCCTGAAATTTTGCATATGCTTATGCGAAACAGGCACTTTGCAATTCAGGATCCTCCTTCAAGCACTGCCTGCCTCAGCAGGATCCAAAGACACACACACCCAAGTGTTCAGCACCCTTTCCAAGCGGGCACGCAGCATTTTGCAACTCCTTCTGCTGAGTATGCAGTGATGATGGTGGTTGCTACAAAGCAGTTGGTGGCTTATTCTTGGGCTATCTGTTTCTACATGTAACCCATTTACTGCCATCGTTATCACCTCAGATTGCAGCAAATTACAGCCTTGGGTACAGTAGTGCCAGGTGCAGGCTGGCTTTTTTAGTCATTATTCAGTGCTGTTCCCTGCTGTCATCTCCAATCCCATGATTGTCATAAATGCTTTGGTTACTTTCCTTCTCCTGCTCTCAGGAACTGATGAGTCTTAATTTACTTATCACTGTAGCTATTTTCTTTCTTATCTTCCTCTCCTTAAACTGAGGAGCAGCTGAATAGATGCAGTTCTCCTTGGCATGGATTCTAGTCTATAGAAAGAGATAAAAGTGTCGGGGCAGTGCAGAAGACCCACACCTTTGTCCTTCAGCTGTCAGTAGTTAGCCCGGTGCATGCATGTTGATTCTGCTTCAGTTCCAACCATTGTGTTTCCTGCTCCCCATCCTGACCTGTGCTCCAGTCCCTAGGAAGAGATGTGTTTTCTGTTCTACCCTAATGCCCATGAGCCTTGGTGACACCCTTCAATTACACCAGAGTGGGAGCTCCTCCCAGGAGAAGAAATGAAGTAGAAGAGTGGGAGAAACCTCGTGGTGGACCTTGGCCAGACAGACCCAACCTAAAGCTTTCCACCTTTGTGGTAATCCCCCTCAAATACCACCTGGTGGAGAGCCCCTCCTGTAATTAACACCAGCAATTATTGGATTCAAAGTAGAGCTTCTGCTGTCAATGGTGATGAGTTTTACCCCACACTTCCAATTGTGGGTTTTTCCCTAACACTTTATTGCTGTAGCTGAGGCAAACCTGAATTGTGAAAAACCAGACATTTTTAATGGTGACTCTACATGTGACTTTATGATTTTCTTCTGTTACAGCTTTAGGGGCAGGAAGTGGAGGGCATGGAAGTGTAGTACTGGCAGGGCCTTTGGCCATTAACTGACCAGTCCAGGTGCTGCATTAGTAAAGAGTTAGGGCTTCCTTTTTTGCCAGTAAATAGGCAGTGCTAAAAGGAAGAAAACAGGACAATGTTATTGCGAGTCCCAGTCTTCAGGTGTTTCTGATATCTATAGTGTCTTCATTTGTCTGGTGATATGCTAACACCAAGCAGTGGAAACCATTCATGAGACCTTTTTTTCATTCTCATCCTCATTTGTTGTCATTCTCCTCCAAAAAAAAATTACTGAATTACCTGTGGAAAGTGGTATGTGTTGTCCATGTTTCTAGTCTTTGAAATGCCTGTTGGGAGGCTTCTTCAGCCCGCTCTTGCAGAGGGCAGGAGCAGGTTGAATCTGGAGTAAAGAGGACCAGAGTGTGCACAGTGCCCAAGATTCAGAGGTACCAAACACGGGTAGAAACAGGGCTGTCAGCATCCAGTGCTCTGGAAAAGCAATAATATAGTATAGTAATGATAATAAATTTATAACTGTAGTAAATAACTCGTGAGGAGTTTTTTAAGGACATTTTGTGTCTGATAAGCCTGCCCAGGTTCTCACGGGACTGCACGATCATGGTCAAAGGCCATTTGGCATGCAGCCATCCCAGAACTGGCCTCACACCTACAGTAGAGGTGACCCTGCTTGCAGTCCAAGTCCTGCCCTTGCTGTAGCCCAGCCTGCTCTTTAGGAGCAGGGATGTGAGCCTGTGTGGGCTGTGTCTGCCTTGCAGAGTCATCAGCACAGGGCTGCTTCGCTGGCCCGTTCAGAGGGGCTGTTCTGCTTCAAATAGAGGAGTAAGAAGCCCCAGCAGGAGTGCCTCAGGAGGCCCTCCTTAGCTCAGCATGACCAGGCACATGGGCTCTGTGTGTCACTGAGGGAACACGCCATGGGGGAGCAGCATTGCAAAGCATCAGAACCCTGCATAGCAGCCAGTGCTTCCCTTGATAGAGCTCCAGTGCCTTCTGCCTGTTGTGCTGCTGCACATCCTCTCGTCCTGTCTCCTCACCCTCCTAGACCAAGGAGTTGGAAGAGGCCAGGATACCAGCCAAATACTCTATGGTGTTTTACACAGCCAAGGTAGCTTTATGCAGCTTGGCACTAAGATGGCCTCTGTGTCTCTTACAGGGAGTATTTGGGAATCTTGGTTTCTTGTTTCTGTTCCCTTTTGTTGGTTCCTCTCCTTTCTTCTCCCCCCTCTTGTGTCCTGAGCCAGCTGTAAGTAGCTGTGAGCATGGTAGCTAAGGATCCTTGCTAGGAAAACTTGGGCCCTGCTTTATCATCTGCCAGTTGTTTGTTTGAAGCTGTTGATAAAGCAGGAGGTGGGAGCCCTGTGCTGGGGCTGAACAGGGCTGTACTCACCCTGGAAGGGCAGACCTAGGGACAGTCTGGAGCTGCCAGCTTGCCCTGAGGCAAAGGGCGAGCAGAAGCTGTGTCCCGCCTGTCTCTGTGCTGATATTGGCTGAAGTCAGCCCTGGTCTATGTGCAGAGGGTTCCCAGAGAATGAGAACTGAACAGTCCTCCTGCCAAACTCGCCCAGGTTTGATTGGCACCCCGATGTTGATTTGTTCTCTTACTGGCTTTCACGGGAGAACTCACAAAATACTTTTTGAGTGAGTTTGACCTTGAGCTCGCTGCCTTGACCTGCTTTTCACTTCCTACAGATGGAGATGCTTGTTCTCCTGGGCATGCCATGGATGTTTTTCAGGGTAACACAGAGCCTTCTGAAAGGCAGGTTTGGGTGCTGCTTGCATTATTCCTGACCCTCGTGCTTTGTTCCCTGTCCTGAGCACCCTGCTGTCCTCTTCCCCAGTAACTCGCTGCCGTTCGTTCTGCAGAAATCAAGGAGGTGGAAAAGCAAACGAGAGGGGACAGATGCCAACAACAGACCCATCAAAGCTGCTGGGAAAGTTATTATCCAAGATATTTCCTGCTTGCTGCCTGTCCACAAGCTGCTGGGAGAGCTCTACATGTGAGTTTGTGTGTGCTGTCATCCTCTCCCAAATGAAAGCAGCAGTTTTTGGCATTACTGTGCTTTAATCCTGATGAAGTCAACACTGATCTTTGAATGTGTCTCTACCTTCTTCCTCTGTTCTTGCCTCGCTGCTTTTTTTATGATTTCACTCTGCCTGTGAGAAGGGACTTACCTCCTGTAAATCTGAAAACTGTGAGGGAAGAAACTTGTGATGGGGTGTTATAAATAGAGTTTGAAGTAGTACTTCAAACCTTACAGGTTCAGGTTTTCACCAGCTAAAGAGAGAAATTATCAGTACAAATTCTTTTTCAGATCTCACGTTAAATTCTACACTTAAACGCACAGGCTTCAAAATCTCAGTAAATGCACGATTTTGTTCTATAATATTGTTAATATCTCATAAGGCTTTTTAATTTCAGAAGTATTTGGAGACTTGTTTGTGCATGCCAGGTCTGTGCTGCAAGTTGTTCTGCTTTAATGGAAAGGATGGGGTTCTGTGAGCATTTTTGTGGGGTTTTCGGTTTTTTGTAAACAAAGGGCTTCGTTTTTCCAAACTTTCTAAATCATATAGTTACAAAACCTCTGTTCCTGAATTTTTTTCTCTCTTAGCTTAGGTAATACTGACTGGTCCTTCGTGGAATTTCCAGTCTATGGACATTCAGGGAAGAAGCAGATTTCCTTCCTTAAAGCTGGAGGCGAGAGGGCGGAAGAGAGGAAAAAACCCCTTCCTTCTCTTTTTCTATGTTATCAAAAAGAATGTTCTTTAAAAAAACCCATTGGACCTTTCTTCTTGGGATACCTCATGTAAACAGCCTTTTCCATATGCCTTAAAATCTTTAGCAGTGTTGAAGTGTTAAGAGTTTTGGGAAGATTTCTGATGACAAGCAGAAAAGTCCAGGTGGGTTTCCTCAGCCCACCTTGCCAGCCCCTCAGAGGCTTCCCAGTGGGTGTGTTTTCCTACTTGGGAACAGGCTGAAGGCCATCCTGATTCTCCACAGCATGCCACCATCTCCTTCCAGGTCAGTCAGAGCAGATTGATGGGCTGAATGGGAACAGGACCATGGAACTGATGGCACCAGCTTTTAGGGATAAGAATGATTCTGGGCTTGGTGATATCCTGGCACTGGTCTGATATCTTCTTGGAAGTGATGCTGCTTAGGATCAATCCCAGCTAGTATGGAGCTGGATTTGATGTGTGGTGTATTAGGGAAAATGAAGGAGAAGGATGGCAGTGATCCCTGAATAACAGAGAGGGAAGGTAGGGGATCCCAGCCACGTGAGCAGGCTCATACTGACCAGGAGGTTCTGGGCTGTTCACTGCTGCCAGGACCACATTCCTCCTGTCCCTCCCCACCTTCACAGGTAATGTGCCAACGAGAGCTCAGCTCTCTCCTTTCTTTTCAGACTGAATGTGAATAATATCCAGGAGACTTGCCAGAAGAACGCTGCCTCGGCCTTGGCTGTGGGACGGAGGGACCTCGTACAGGTATGACATATAATCAGACCTTTTCCTCAGCATGCTGTGCTACCCTCAAATGGCTTGTGCTGCCACTGTGGTCCCCAAACAGCCACCTGAGTTCAGCAGCTGTTCCAGAGAGCCTCTGGTTGGTGAGCAGAGGCCTGTGGAACAGCCACCAAGGTGGTCCCCACCTCACTGACTCTTGGTATGGAGAGATTCCTTCCCAGGGCTGCAAGCAGATTGTTTATGCCCTTTGCCAAACTGACTGAAGTGCATTTTTCAGGGAATTCCTGTAGGCAAATTGAGGAATGTAGCCTGCTTTTGAGTCATCAAATGGAGTAACTGTGCACAGAGTTGCCTAGCTGCTCTCAGCGTTTTGATCCGTAATTTTTTTCATATCTGTGTAATCATTCCCATGGTTTGGCATTCATCTGTGCTGGCACTAGGTGCTAACACAGCTAGCTTCTCCCAAGAGACCCTGGGCCCAGGGACCCCAAAAGGGGGCTGGCTACTTGCCTTCAGCTAAAAATAGGAGACAAATGGCTATTGTGGCCCATCCTTTTCCCTGTGATTAGTCCATTGCAACAGGCAGAACATTTGACAGGATGCAGGAGCACCTGAGAGAGGTGGGAGCTGGCAGTGACAGAGCAGCTGTGCACATCTCCTGAGCATTGGCTCTTCCTAGAGCTGGGCAGGCAATGTGCATAGGCTTACCTGATCTGAGCCAAAGCAAACTCAGGCTGTTGTTTTGCTTCATGGTAGATTCTGCTGGACCCAGAGAGAGAAAGTAGGTCTGGTTCCCCTTTGTCTGTGCTTCCTCTTGCAGTCTAGTTTGCTTTCATTGGACCAGAGCTTGAGTGGAGTAACTTCAGCAAGATTTCTCTGAGATACCTCTGCTTCTTGCTTGTTTTTCCCTGTCCATGTAAGTCCAGGCTGTACTGCAGCTGTTCCCAGCAGCCACAGAGGCTCGAGTCGCAGGTTACGTGTAGGATGTGCTCTGGAGCAGTGTAGGAAGTGGCGTCTTTCCTGTTTCCTCTCTGTGCTCTCCCATACTCAGCCCTGTCCTTGTTTCAGTTTCTCTTCTGTTTCTTTCCCTCTGATTTCACAATGAGCAGCTGTGGGACTACTGTTCTTAGTACTTGGATCATGTGATTTTTTTACTTTTCCGTGTTGTCAGCTCTCTGATTTAACTAGTTGAATTTCTGAATTAGAAGTGGCAAACTGTGCTCCTGTCTGTGCCAGGCTGTGCTAGGAGAACAGCATTTAGTAACACTCAAAACTAATCAAAAGATACTTCTCATGCAAAAACTGATTTACCAGTAAACTTTCTGCTACCAGCCATCTCCAAAACCAAGAACTGTATATAAATTCACTAATAGATTTGTTAAGCTACCCTGACAGGTCTGTTAGCTATAGACTGATCTGCTTTAGCATTTAACCCAAACTCAGAGCAAGTGGGACAGGGAAAGCTTTGGGTTTGTGTTATTCCCTGTATTATTTGTGACACAGAGACCGAAACTCTTCCTTGCTGTCAGGGGAAAAAAAAAATGCAAGCTCCATTATTATCTGTGTGTGAATTTGTGCACACCTATGCCCTGGGAGTGTGGTTATTCCTAATTGTAGCTTTGCTGCTTTTCCTTCCTGTCTGCCAGGTTTGGTCACTGGCCATGGTAGCCACTGATCTCTGTCTTGGACCGAAGTCTGACCCAGATTTGGAGATACCCTGGGCACAACATCCATTTGGACGTCAATTACTGGAGTCCTTGTAGGTGTCTGAGTGCTGGGGAGGGGCTGGGGAATGGTTGCTGAAGCAGAGCCCTCCATAACTGTGGACGTGTGAGGCATCAGTTCAGATCTGGAGTGGTGCCACAGCGTGGATTTTTTTCCCCTCTCAAGCCTGCAGTGCCTCACAAAGGGAAGCTCCAAATGTGTTCATGGCATATGGGAGGCAGCACTTGGCCTTCCACCTCTCACCCAGGTCTTCCTTGGCTAGCATTGAGCAACAGCCAGGTGCAGGCAGAGCTCTGCTTTCCACCATGCCCACAATGCCTGGTTTGGAGGTGTGGGTTTCCTGCTCCCCACTAAACGAGCCTGTTGGTGTAGCAGCTTTTTTCACTTGCAGATTACCTGTTGCCATGTAGCATTACCGGAAAATCATTCCAGTGGTCTCAAAGCCAAGTGTTAGCTACAGATGTCTTCCAGATAGTGACTCTGCTCAGGAGGGTGCATAATTAGGAATTCATATTACAACTAGTAATTGTATCTGTTGATACACTCTGTTTGGAGGCACAGGATTTGTGTGGTGTACTTTCCATATTGTTGATTAGCTGAGCTCTCTCCTGCTCCATGGCAGCAATGAGAGCAGAGCACAGGTTGTTCTTCATCACTCTCAGTCTTCAGAGCAAACCAGAAATTTCATAGCCATCCAGAAAACCTGCAGTGGGATTTTGCCTTGTGTGATTTTGCCTAGATGTGGGATACTTGCACCCCAGAGGGCTTTGTCAAAAAGATGTTGTGGCTGAGAGTGAGTGTAATGGCTCCAGTGTTACATCAGGCTACGAGTACTGCTGGATTCCCAGAGCTCCTGTTTTTCTCCCACCAGTTAGGCCATGAGCATTTTCAGGAGAACTTGCCTTCTCAAAGGTGTGACAGAAAAGCCAGCCCAGTCCCTCAGAGCACACGTGCCACCTGCGGGCAGTCACGTCACCCAAACCACGCAGCAGGCTCACAATTAGCTGCCCTGGAGTCTCCATGTTTTTGCCACTGAGTCCTGCCCAGTCTCACACTGTCCTTTCCATTTCCCAGGCTGGCTCATTACTCACAGCTCCACGACGTGCAGACCCTGGCCATGCTCTGCAGTGTGTTTGAAGCCCAGTCCAGGCTACAGGGGTGCCCCAACTCCTATGGCCCCTTTCCTCAGCGTGCCTCCAACCTGGCCTCCCACAGCCGATACGTATGGTCACCATTTCTTTCACATTTGTCTTGAATACCTTTGAACATCTCTCATGCAGATGACATGATTTCTTCTCCTTTCTCCCTCAACAGCCCAGCTTTACTTCCTCTGGCTCCTGTTCCAGCATGTCAGACCCTGGAATTGGCACTGGGGGCTGGAGCATAGGTACGAGACCTGGGTAGTAAGTAAAGGAATCTCCCTCCATTCTGGCCGAGGTTTTAGATGGCTCCTGTGGTGGGGAAAGGAGGGAGTTAGTACTGGCTGTGATTGCAGATGAGCTCTGCCAGAGCAGCTCTGGGGGGGTTGGCCAACATGGTGTGATTCCGTGGCTGGAAGTGAGCAGGACTTGCAGTATCTGTATCAAGGTTCCTGCAGTTCTGCACCTTCTGACTTCAGTAGATACTGTCTGACTGGTCTTTGGAGAAGGCCATTACTCATGCCAACTACTCCTGCTAATTTCCTTGTCCTTCATGTGCCTGGACATGGTTCCCAGGATTAGCTGCTCCATCACCTCCCCCAGGATCGAGCTCAGGCTGACTGGCCTGCAGTTCCCTGGGTCCTCCTTCTTGACCTTTTCAAAGACAGGAGTGGCATTTGCTGTTCTCCAGTCCTGAGACACCTCTCCCAGTCACCACAGTCATTCAACGAGTATAGAGAGTGGCCTTGAAATGTCATCAGCCAGCTAATTCCACAGGGTTCAGGGGGGAAAGCAATGCTGTGCTTTCTCCTGTCTCTAGAAAAACAGCAGCAGTTGGGAAGACTGGGTTCTTGGTGCCATCAATATCTGAGCTGCAAAGGTGACAAAGACCAGTCCCTCCTAAGGGCTCCCATGTCCGAGTTGAAGCTGTTGGCTAATTCCTAGTGATATACACAGCCTGGGGCAGCACCAGCCCTGTTAGCACCAAAGCTGTGAGTTTTCAGTGTGATATCAAGGCATCTGTGACATGGGGAAGAGGGGAGGATGGGGGTTAGCAGAGTGGATATTGCCTTGTAGCAGTTATTAGCAGTCATCTCCCTGCCCCTGGGGCAGTACCTTGCATACAGAGGCCCCTTTACGTAACAGCAGTCCTGGTGATGGATGAGAGTCCTCTGTCTCCAGGAAAGAGGAGCCCAGGTCTGCCAGGGATAGTGTTCCCAAGCAAACTCCATGGCATTGATTTCCTGGTTGCTTTTTGTCTAAAGCCCAAGGCAAAAGGGATTCCCCCACATTAGATTTCTCTGCCTGGTGATCCTCCTGCCTGTCCTGTCACCACAAGTGCAGGAGAAGCACTCAGAGGTGCAAGTAGAGGCTGGCACTTAATCTCGGAGGCAGGGCAGTGTTTGTCAGAATGCAGAGGGTGATACAACGTGTCAAAGAGAAACCCGTGGGGTTGCAAACCTGTGGTCTCCCGTGTCCCTTCCTGAGGCTGGTTTTGAGGAGGCTGTGCTTGCAGAGATGGGCTCACAGCTCTTGGTGCTTGCAGCAAACAAAGACACGGAGCAGGCCTCCACTCCCTGGTGCGAGTCTTCTCCGGATGAGTTCCGCTACGGAAACCTCATGTATCCTGATCATCGGGAGCGGGAGAAAGACCAGCATGAGAAAAACAAAAGGTAGGTTATATGTGTTATTCAGGGAAGCGTGGCACTGTGTCCAAGTCACCTGGAACTCCATCACCAGGTCGCTGGTGCTGTACCACACCTACCCCTAGACCTTGTCATCCACGTAATCACTTGGAGAAGCTTTATCCTGCAGATCAACACTGCTGGGATTACACATGATACATCCCTAAGTGGCCATGGCCCTGGAGGGCAGTCCACCCACGGAGTCTGCACCGTGGAGCGCAGAACAAGTTATTAGTGCTCAGCAGTGCTTCAGCAGCATGTGGGAAGTGCTGCGTTTACAGCACAGCCATCGCCAGAAAGAGCGTTGCAACCAGAGCCTCTGAGAGACAAGGCTCAGTTACAAGCCTGTTTGTTCCTCTAGGCTGCTGGATCCTGCCAACACTCAGCAATTCGATGACTTTAAGAAGTGCTATGGAGAAATCCTTTATCGCTGGGGCCTGCGAGAGAAGCGGGCGGAGGTTCTGAAGTTTGTCTCGTGTCCCCCTGATCCCCACAAAGGAATTGGTGAGTGTCTGCTCCTGTTTTGCCCAGGCAGGGTCACAGCTCTGCCTCAGGAGGTTAGGAACATGCAGTCTGCAGGGCAGGATGTGTCACAGACTGAAAGGAAAAAATTTATTTATTTATTATGAATAAAATATGAAGGGTTTATTGAAATTGATGATGATAATGATAATGATTGGACTAAACAGGCTTTAATCAGAATCATTTACTACACAGTATAGAAAGTTATAACTACTAATATAGTGCACTGGTTATTAAATCAATAATATCAAAGCTAGCTTAGTAATTATCGTGTAGACATTGATGTTACTCACCCAAAGCAGCGGCCATGGGCAAATCTCTCTCACTCACCCTTGAGGAGTGACCTTCAGGGATGTCTCCACCCAAGGGAAGGATCTTCATACACATCTAAGGGAGGTGTGTTAGAAACTCCCACCATTTAAAAGTGGGACTGCTCTTTCATAGTATGAAGTGATTGACTGTCAGTCATACAATTTTAGATAAAATGTCATCCTGCCTGCTCAATTTTTGAATAAGATGCTATCAGCTCTTTGATTTGTTCTTCTATAAACATCTGCCTCTACCTTCCCTATCAGGGTTTTCCTATCCCTGTTGATGCCAGCCTTGGTGAGGAAGCATTTGTCTTACCTATCTGTATGATGGGTCTAATCTGAGGTAGTTTGATCAAGCTGGTTTAGCATCCTTCAGCACTAAAGACAGCAGGACCCCCCACACTCAATCCATCACCAGTAGCTTGCAAGTAAGGCAAAATCCAAGCTGGTTTGCTCCTGCTTATGCAGAACATCCTGCTACAAAGATGAAGAGTGTGCACCGGTCACTGAAATGTCACTGAAAATGTGGCATTTAACCTCTGACAGAGTTTAGCTCTGCAACTGAGTGGGTTTGACTTCTTCACTGCTCTGGGTGGAGATGAGGCCTGCAGGTGTTGGTTCAAGGGCTTTGACACCTGTGACATCTCTGCAGCAAAGCTGGAAATGCACAGACTGCCACGCCAGCAGTGCTCAGCTCTGTGCTGATGGATGTCCTTTTTTCCCTCGGAGTAAAAGCTCAGGCACGCCCTGTCCTCGTTGATTCTGGGCTGAAGTGTCCTTATGTTAAAATTGCAAGATCCCTAAGTGGGTGAGCTAGTCAAGAAATAGGCAAAGAGAACTTTTCTCCCAAAATATTTTCTGCAGTGTAGATGCCCAGCTTAAGGCAAAACGGCTTCTTCCCAGACCTCTGGGGGCAGATGTGCTTAACCTGTGGGGAGAGAAGCAGGTGAGGGATGCCAGAGAAGCAGCAGTTGCCTCACCTTGTCGCCCAGAATGACTCTTGGAGAGTTACTGGAGTGAAAATTGCTGCTTGTTGCCTCTCCATGGCTGACAGGGCACTGTGCAGGCATCGGGTTCCTTGGGTACACTCTGAGCCCTCTCTCTGATGAGAAATAGAGGCTGTTCTTGTCTGCCTAATGACACTTCGTAGTGGTGAGAGGCAGATGAGAGCGGGGGAAGCCTTCATGTGTCAGTGTCTCCCAAGGTAGAAATCCAACAGACATTCCCAGCAGACAGCTGGAGCTATCAGGGGAATTAGTGGGCCAGTTGGTGCCCTGACGCTCTGACTGCCCGTTCCTTGATCAAACCAAGGTCTCCATTCTCCCCTCCTGGAGGAGCTTCAAGGCAGGTCTCTTGGGCAGCGGGTTCAGGGAGCTCATCTGCTGAACGGGGGGGCTGTTGGCGGGGCTGCTCTGTCCGTGATTCCGGCGGCACTAACTGTCCTGCTGTGCCTTCCTTCCCTCCCGCAGAGTTCGGGGTGTACTGCAGCCACTGCCGCAGCGAGGTGCGCGGCACCCAGTGTGCCATCTGCAAGGGCTTCACCTTCCAGTGCGCCATCTGCCACGTGGCCGTGCGCGGCTCCTCCAACTTCTGCCTGACCTGCGGGCATGGGGGCCACACCAGCCACATGATGGAGTGGTTCCGCACGCAGGAGGTGTGTCCCACGGGCTGTGGGTGCCACTGCCTGCTCGAGAGCACCTTCTGAGCAGGGGGGACAGCGGAGCCGCCCCGCAGCGGGGTGGAGGATTTCATTCCCAAGCCATGCTGAGTCAGCTCTGCTCCGCGGTGTCCGGAGGGGATCGTCACGAGGAGCTGAAGCGGGATGTCCTGGCCACGCGCTGTGGTGATGTTTACAAGTGCTTCCAGTACTCCTACACTTCCCAGGTTGTTTTCAGACTGATTTGACTGAATTCCCTGTGTCCATTGCTGGCAATGGATGCCAGACCAGAAAAACTGCTCTCTCCTGCAGAGGGGTGTGTGAACATTGGTGCGTTTGGGATGAGGAGATGTTTGAAAGCTCCCCTGGAAAGAGCCCACCTGGCAGAGCCAAACTCACTCCAGCGATGTCGTGTCTTTCCAGGTGCCTCCCTACAGGGGCTCAAAGTGAGCAAAACAGTTGTTTTACACACCTTAAGGCAGACATAATTCTCAACCAACAGTGAGCTCTAAAGGTGAGCTGTAAATGGCGGTTGGAGAGCAAATAGTCTGTGAGACTGTGCTCAGAGTTACTTATTTTGAATGGCTGTTTACATTGTTTAGATTTCCCCATAAAGCAAGAGAAGGAAATGGCATTTTTCAGCATTACTTCTTAAATAGCTTCCTGCTCACTGGTCAGTACCTGTGGCTGGTGCAAAAAGCCCAGCCAAGCACCCAAGGTCCCTGGGATTAGTTGCTTCCAGCAGTTTTAGTACTGCGAGGCTTTAAGGTGTCTCCATCTCCTGCTCTGACCAGGTGAAAAAATGCACTTTAACCTGTCCCTGCCTTGTAGCTGACACTTCCTGGTGACTGGGAAAGGCACCTGCCTTTGAGTTTGGGATCCACATTGTCTTTCCATAGATGGTGGCATATTGGAAAGCCTTTGCTTCCTCACTGAGAAAGCACAAGGACACTGGTTCCATGCAACTCCTTTTGGCTGTTGTCTCCAAGCTCTACGGGGAAAATTATGGATAATTTGAGATATGCTGCTGCTGTGCTTGAGTGATGAGGCTCCTGAGCCAGGGAGGCTGCAGTTTCTAGGGAAAAAGGGGTTTTGGAAGCATGGTAAGATCCAGGGAGGCAAAAAGTTTATGCCCTTTCTCCCTGTGGACCTTCAATTGGAGAATGTATGGATCTGTCTGTTGGGACCGTGCCCGCTGGGCACTCCCAGCCCGGGGACGCTGCTCTGTGGGGAGTGCACACCTGGAGCTCTCAGCCTGAGCTCTGGATTTGGGCGAGTGTGTGGTCAGGGATGAGCCCACCGGGGCTGCCCCCACCCGTGCCAGAGCTGATCCCTCCCTCTGGGCCCCCCTGCCATGCCCGCTCCCAACCCCTGTGCTAGCTCAGGCTGTGGGATCCTGCTGTGGAATAAACAGATGTTGTATCTTAAAACATTAAAATTATTTTTTTAAGTGCTGTTCTGATAGAACTTGGTGTTGCTCTGCTGGTTCTCCCTCCGTGGGGAGCCCCCAGCAGCATTCCCTCCCAGCGTGGTGGTGCATGCTGCACCCAGGGCCCTCTCCCTGCACCCCAAACCAGGGGGCTCAGTGGCTGCAGTAGCTGGGGGGCTGCTGTGTCCCCCAGTGTCCCCCAGCCCTGCCTGGCACATGGCACAACAGCCTGGGAACTGCCCGTGGTTGTGAGGCTCCTCTTGGGAAAGCGAAGCCGGGCGGTGTCTGAGCTGCGGGTGAACAAAACCCCACATCCTGCAGTCCGGGGAGGCCCCGGGCAGCGTCTGCCCCCGAGGGAGGCGGGGGGGGGCACTGGGGTCCTGCCCGGCGCCGTGGCAGCCCTCGGGCCAGGGTGCTCCATGCCAGGAGCTGCAGGGAGAGGGCTCCCGCCCTCCGCCTCCCTACGTGACAGCCATTCAGCTCGGAAGTATTTTCATTTCCATGCTTGAGTGCTCCCGTGGCTTGGAAGGGAAAGGAGACTTGTTATTTAAAGGTGATGAACCGACAAATCGTGGTATTTAGTGTGTTATTACAGTCCATTACGGTCTATCTCCATAGTATGTGAGCAGCCCTGAGGAGGAGCACGGCCGGCACTTCAGAGGAAGGAGGAAAAGCCCTTGTTGCCCTGGCTGTTTGTGCAGCCCTGCACAGATGGGTGGAATTTCTTCCCGGATGCTGCAGGCAGTTCTCTCACACCCTGCAGCATAGCTGGTGGTTGCTTTGGGAGCAGTCTCGCTCGATGCAGGAGTGACTATTGCAAGGAAACAGGAATGGCTTATTCCCACCTGCCTGGAGCTGGGCAAAGAGAGAAATGTTGTCTTTGCTGCACTGGGCAGCAATAAATGGTCAGAAATGGGGTGTGCTGGTGCCCCACACCAGTCCCTTCTGCACTGCTCCCCAACTGCTTGTCCCTGATCCCACCTGCTGCTTCCAATAACTTGGGAAAGTACGAAAACATTCCCCAGTGTGGCCAAATCTCACTCTGAATTTCAGGCTTTAGAGAAGGGAGAGGAGGCAGGCACTGCTCAGGCAGCGAGTCTCGGCACAGAGTGTGCGCCAGACCAGCTCTGGGGCCACTGCCATGCTCAGACCAGGTGAATCAAACAGAGCCTCCAGCCGATGGACAGTGCCAAGGACCTTGGTCAGTTGTGCTGTGGGACAGGGGTGACCCATCCGTGGCTTCTGCTGGTGCAGGAGCAAGGGGGCATTGGATTAAACTGTCCACTTGGCACAAGAGGGCATTGGATTAAACTGTCCACTTGGCACAAGAGGGCATTGGATTAAACTGTCCACTTGGCACAAGAGGGCATTGGATTAAACTGTCCACTTGGCACAAGAGGGCATTGGATTAAACTGCCTGCTTGGCACGAGGGGGCATTGGATTAAAGTGCCTGCCTGGCACGAGGCGGGAGCGAGCTCCTCACGCGCTGCGTAGGAAGGGTGTCAAACCACTTCCCTCAGGGCATCACCGGTGCCAAGGGTTTGCCAAGGCTCTTGCCAAGGCTCCCGGAGTGACTGGACGCTGCTGGGGAGGGGAGCTCCACCCCAGTCCGGAGAGGGACCTGTGTGACCCCAGCCAGCAGCACTGCAGAGATGCCCCCGTGCCCCACACCTGCTCTGGCACCCTTCCTGGGCCACTGCAGGGGAGGATGCTGGGTGCGTGACACCTTTGGTCCGACCCTGAGCAGCTGCTTGCCAAAACTTGCTTCAGCTGCCTGCCAAGTGCATCCCAAGGGCTGTTACCTGTGTATCCATGCTAGCTTTCCCAAGGACTGAGCTGGAAGAGAGAGAGAAAGCTCCCACGACAGCCCACGCTGTGCCCTCAAGGCCACTGTCAGCTTTTTAAACCCTTTTTGTTCTCCTACTAAGGCTGTAGTGAGCATGGTGTGCCTTCTTGTCCCCACTGAGGCTTTCCATGTGCAAAGAAGGAAGTTTAATCCCTGATGATCGGAGTTTGGCAGAGAAACGAGGAGTGATAATAGCAGAGAGGGAAAACCTTTCCCCATGGATGCAGCACCCTGCAGTGTCTATTGGCCTCCTCCTCCTCAGTGGCCACAGCCCCATTATCCCAGCATCAGCCCCTCCAGCACTGCAGGGCCTGATCCTGCCCAAAGCCAGAGGCACATTCCTGCTGTCTCCCTTGTGCCAGCCCCAGTGTCTGTCCGTCTGTCTGGTGGGTAAACCAGTTCAGGAACTGATGAGCCAAAGCTGTTTGACTGCTCTCGTTTCAGCCAGGCTGATCAGCAGAGACTCCACTCCCTGGTGCTGCCTGTCCCAAGGGACAGGCCATTGGCACAGCCCTCTTCTGCCCATTTGGAGCTGTTCTGGTGGTGTCTGCCAGCACCATCCCCCTTGCCAGTGCCACCACTGCTCAGTGCATCCCTGCTCTGCAGCTGACAGGGTCTCTCTGCAGCCCCATCCTCACCACAGAGCTGGGCTCACCCACCCTGGGGACACCCCCGTCCCTTGCATGGGGGACAGAGCCCCACCATGAAGCCCAGATGGCAGATGGGGAGTCAACTCTCCACGGGCTGGCTGATGTGTCCAAGCCCTGCTGCAGCACAGCTGGGGACCACAACCCCCATGTGCTCGGGAGAGGACGGCAGTGGAGACCCAGAGGTGCCCCGGCAGCTTTGCCCCCTGTGGGCTGGCAAAGGCTGGACCCATCTCTGCCATGAACTGCAACTACCACCGAGCCCCCAGTGTGGCCCTTGGCAGCACGTGGTGCCTAAGGGACCTGGACATTCCAAAATCCAAGGTAGGGCTGGGCTGCAAGGGCAAGACCAGATGGTGGGGGCTGTGGTGGGGTCATGGGCAAAGTCCTCTCCATCTCCCCCAGCACCCCACAAAGAGATAGAAGCCATTGTGCCTGCCCTGAGCATATTTGGGGCCTGGGGTGCCCATCTGGTTTGGGGTATGGGTGCAGTGGCCTCTGACTGAGAGCCCCAGCACATTTGGATCTTCCTCTGCCCCTCACCTTGCCCTCACACTCACCTCAAAATCCTTTATCTCTACCTGGGAACCACCCTGATGCCCCAAATGTCGGCACCAGACTGAGCCCCACCAGGACTGGGGCCACCTTGGCCACCTTGGCCATGGAGGGGAGTGGGGAGAGTGGGATAGCCCATCCCAGCACCTCCTTTGGGAACTCCCAGCAGCCTCTGAGGACTCCTCCACCCTCTGGCCAATGCACTCTGGGTACCCCACAGCAGCCCCGGGCAGGAGCATGCCCACCCAAAACCCTTCTGCTCCCATCGGGGTGCAAAATCAACCTGCCCCCCCAACGAAGGACTTTTCCCTGAGCAGGTGGCTGGGCCGTTCCGGGAGCTGGGTGGGAATGTGGAGCCGGCACCGACCGACACAGCAGGTTTTGCATCCGCCTTGATTAAAGGCCTCCCTGAACACCGGCTGTGCCTGCCAGCACCCCACAGCACCCCACAGCACCCCAAAGCCGGGGGGCTGGGGAGGTGTGATGACCCACCCTTACAGGGGGGGCCGGGGGGGCTCCTCATTCTTGGGATGGTGAACCCCACCTTAACCACCAGCTGCAGCCCGGTGTGGTTGGCAATGCCAAAATTTGCTGGCTCGTGGCCAGCCCCTGTGGTCAAGGGTGTCACCCCAAAGAAGGCCCCCTACTTCACAGGGAAGGTTTTCCAGCAAATGGGGGCAAAAAGCTCCTTTCTTGTCATTTTTTGTGATTTATTTGACTGTGATTCTTTGGGTAGTTTGGTGCTGCTTTTTGCCCTGCCCCCTGCCCCACCAGTTAATTACAAATTTAATTAAATATTGAAATAAATCTGCAAACAGACAGAGGGGAGGATGTAGTGCCTGGTGGCAACTCGGGGGTGGGTTGGCCTCTGAGGGACTCCGGGAGGGTCCCCTGGTCTCCAAGGGGGCTCTGAGCTGGGTCTGGGGTACCCCCTGCCTTGGCCACTGTGGACCTTGGAGGGGAGTTGGTACCTTGGGAAGGGTGATACCCCCAGGGTGCCCTATGCCCCCCAGTTACCACCCTGCGATGCCCCCGCAGCCCCATCTCTCCCTCA